AGGATCATTCCAACAATAGATCTGGTTAATCAGCAGTCAAAACATCGCGACTTCCTGACAGAGACATCTAGCATGCGTTTCTGGAACCTTGGAACAGGAAAGCAAATATTTATCCCAGATACATTAGCTATTGTTACTATTCGCACTATTGATTCTAATAATATTCCTGGAATGCAGAATTATCTGGAAATCACAACGTTTAGTAAACATAATATTGCAAATTAAGATTCGCTTCTATGCGTCGACAGATGTTTTCTATAGAATTAGGTTTGTCTGATTCCTAGTACCATCAATACCACTACAAATATTTTTATAAGTATATATTTAAGTAAGACAATATTGTATCTAACCATATCATACATTTTAGTAGACTTTTCAGACACCTAAAAAGCTTCAGGGGATGTGAAGAACCATGGTAAATTGTTGCTTATCGGAAAAATAAAATCGGTTAACTAGACTGTGCCCGTTTTATATTATACATCTATAATGAAATTTCAAAAATAGACGAAGTTAGTTATTAATATTAATTCATCAAATTAAGGTCATATTATAGACCAGAAGAAACAAAAAATGAATTTTAATGTTCGTATTTGGCATTTAATATTTTTAAAGGTAGCGTACTTCATTTTTTTTGTGGTCTCTCAATAAAATAGGACACTTCTGGATCCTATAAATCTTCATACATGCTTAGCATATGGTTGTTACAACACATAGTTCCTGATTCACAAGTGACGTGTGTCGATTGGCTTGTTAATGAGAAACGCTTGGTATGTTGACATAAGTACAGACGATCAAAGTGCATATTTGCCCAGAGTTAATTTATACTATAGTTAAACTTATCCCCTATTAAACTTAGGCTACAACAAGTATAACTCCCTCGATGGTCTAGTAGTAGTTTCGCAAATTAAAGATTACTAGGTTAAAATGTTAATAATTCTGACAACCCGCCCTGGAGTTTGCGTAGTGGGTCAAATCTTTAAAACTTCCATTTAATGAAGTGATCGGGCCGAAGTAAAACGGTATTTTCAGACAATTTAATTAAAACATATTTAGAGATAGAAATGTGCCCAAAGGTTGGACGTTAGAGTACGAAAAGTAAAACATATTAGGATGATGCGCCAAACAATTTGACGAAACACAGAAATTTTTGGAAGTTAGTTTTAATATATTTGCAAACATTTATTTTATACATAGGCAAATAATTTATTAACAAATGATATGCTTAATATACAATGTACTTCGAATAAATACATCGCACATTTTTCTTTTAATATACCTGAAATAGAAATAATGATGCATTTGCATACATTTAGTAGCAACTGTAGCAATATTATGATGTTGGTCAGGCCACGTAGATCAATGTGTCTTGGGTTAGACGCTACACGTGCTACTTTTCATCTAGGGTTGAAAAACTTTAAAAAATGAAATATATTTTAATAAAAAATTATTCGAAATCTACTTGAGAATAAATCTAATGGAGAGTCTTGTTAGTGTTTGATTTGTGGCGAATCAACTAAACTGAAAGCTTTTTTTCTCCTAAAAATACAGAAGCATTTCGCATGCTTCGGTATTCCTAGCTCCGATTTAATATATAGATTTCCAGACGAAGTCCAACAAGTTTTAAAAAAATTGTAATCGAATAGAATAATGTTGGTCCCCCGACCTGTTGATTATTAGCGATACATTGCTATCACGCCGTTAAAATATTTTTCTTGTATTTTGAAATTGTGTAAGTAGCAACCCTATGAGTTACGAACGACACCCGCACTGAGAGAGTGCACCGCGAGATTTATAGCGTTCAATCAATGCGGATTTATTGCTGAGGAAGTAACTCCTTTTGTGTTCTGAGACGACAATAATTGGCTGCCTACCTGCGATTGCGCAATTAGACAATCGTTATGCGTTTATTAATGAGTTCATTTGTTACTTTAGTCGCCGAGGTTTACGGTTTTGTTTTGTATATTTCTACTCATTAATTAGATTTATATTCGTCAGATCTTATTATAGCGGCCATCTTGTGGTAATATTTTACCTATATTATACAGATTATTACGGATACCACAGATTATCGGATGCGGCAATAAGGTCTTATTTGATGATCTGTGGTAGCGATGATTTGCTTCTGTATTTTATCCGGAGAGTTCTATGCAGTGATTTAATTTTCTATTTATAACCTCAAATTTAAGACGGAGAAATTTCATAGCGGAATCGCTATTCAATTAACTAATCCGTAAACATGTCCGTGACAATTTTTTAATCGGTCACAGATATATAGTTAAAAAAGGAAGTAAGAAAACTTATTTGCGATAAAGTAATAATTATATACCAAACGATGTTAAGGATAATTTATAGTCTTTTCACTAACGACTGCACTATTAACATAGCTAACATTGTACTATAATTATATTATCGATACATTTGGCAAGTGCAGGGACATTAAAACAATTGGAGTAGAACCGACATGATGCATCGCCTAATTATTTATCGTATTATTAACTACCTAAATCCGCGACTACATATGCGTACAGAAATGGCTGGATTTACAATACAAATATTCTTTATTGTACAAAACAAGACATAACACAAAGTAAAGCTGATAGAAATTTAGGACATACGGTCGTTTTATCCCTAATTAGCTATCAATGTATCTCTTTATTTTTTTTTAATACAGTTAAGAGTCGCCTACATTAAAGAAAACAAAAACACACTGACAACCGAACTTAATCACGAAATCCTAGATTCATAAAAATAATGAAATTAAGCTTCTGCTAATTTATTGTTAAAAGCGCAATATTACAGATATTGACGAATCACATACATACAGACGGTCTGTAGGTATAGACTGGTATAAACAATTTAAAGTATTTTTACTCTGTTGTGTTACTTTCATGATTGTATACACTCTGTTAATATTATCAAATTACACACATTTTCTATTTCATTAACAGCGTCTTCTCGACACTTAAAAAGTAAAAAAATATTATTGACTTTAAATATATACTGATACTCTTAAATTTAATAAAAAATAATGTAATCATAAAAACATATTTATGATAATTTAATTAGTACATATGAATTAGCGACTAGTGTAGGAAAGAAGAAGAACATAATATACTGGATACTAACGGAAAAATTATACATCACAAAAACAAGAAAAAAATACATACAAGATGGCGGGTTTAGTCAAACGACCCATTAGAAAAATCTTTACAATCAGCATAATTAACAACGAGTTCCAAGTAAGAGCTTACTAATAGATAACTTTTTGTGTACATCGGTTTGATTTCCGTCTGTTACATCAGCATATCTTGGTTTTAACACAATAGAAAGTCTTTAAACCAAGAAAGTCGTAGAACTCGTGGGCCATTCATTGTGTTCGTTATTTCAGGGAATCCTGTCGATTATATGTCCTGGACGACTATGACTGTCCTATAACACCCGAATTCGACCTCTTCGCAGGGAGAGGGTCAATACTGAAAGAATTTTCTGCCTCTGAAATTATTTTTCAAAATATGTAATTGCTTAACTCTTTGAACTAAGTACTACCCAGGTAACGTAACGGGTTTTGAGCGTTTAATAAACCTGTTTAAAAATAACATTTTGTTTTTGTCTAATAATAGTTCAATTTGTGTGACGGAGGGTTTTGAATAAACCCGAGCGATCAGTGACGCTAAAAGAAAAATAAAACGTTCCCCGAAATAAACCAAAGATCATTGTCGATTCTGCGTAAGTATAGTTTTCATCACCCGTCTTATTTATAATCCCGCCCTGACAAGCGGCGATGAAATTATTGCAGCCATTCTAGATGCGTTTTGAATTTCCCGCCATTACACCAATTAGTTGAGTGAGATGTCCGCCGCAGAAAGGACGTTTACGATTTTTATGGCTTATTCGGTTGTTTCTTTTGATTTACTATTTTCCTCGTTATTCGAGTTACGTCTTAACGGACGCGGGTGCCAAATGTGTGTGTTCGAGTCTCGAACTTCGAGTTTAGAATGACTTTAAGTTAAGTGAGTGACTATTGGGAACGTAATAATGATTATTTATAATGTTGTGTAAGTACAACTATTAGTAAACTTTCATTGAGCAAACATTTCTTTTAATCTAAATAAGACATTGTCAGCTGTAAGCTTTCCTAATCATAACAGAGTAAAAATGGTACGATCTGTACGTAGATTCAAATCTTGCTTAAATTGTATGTTATACTTAAAAAAATTAATGGGTATTCAATGCAAAGATATTCTATTAAATAAAGACCTAAAATGTTTAACTGATAGGCCTTTTAGGGGAGAAAATTTAGATACTAAAGTTCTTACCGACTTAAAGCTGTTGTAATTAAGGCTACGAAACCAATAATAGAATGGTATCTCGTATACAAACTATAGGGATAGGGACGACTTTGAAAAACTAAGAATTTTGAATCCATCGGTAATCTAACAGTTTTCTTCTGTAAAATACAATGATACGTAAACAATTGACATAGATGCACTATTCTATTCTATTTTTGGTCACGTCCAACAAAGAATATGGAAATTTTGTTGTCAAAAACTGTACCCTAAATAAATGGTATCGATTTATTTAGTGTGTACCCAAACTTATAAAAATTACGAGTATCCAACCACAAAGTTTCAGTTAAATACTGTCTGTAGTTTACCCGCGTAGTACACATTTAAATAAAACACTTTAACGGTTTAAAACGCGATAATATATGTTAGTTAAACTTATTTGAAAATAATTTTAACTACGTTTCGGATGCTTTGTAGCAGCCGTGGTCACGGGTCTCCCCGTCCGACCCGTTAAAGTTTTTTATTTAAAAGATATTAGAATTTAGAGCATTAATTAATTATTCGTTGCGTAAATTGCCACAACACTACCATTTGTTAATATTATATTTATAACCTGTGTAATAAATGTTGTTTTTTGTTTTATAATCTGTTACCTAAAATTATATATGTAGATATAGAAAAAAATGGCATAAGTAAGTGAAAATTATTTTCCAGGTATCGTGTCTAGTCACTTTTCCCGCGGAGCATTTCACCTACATTCATTAGCTGAGCGAGTTAGTCGGGACCAGGAACAGCTGCCTGTTCTTCCACCGATCCAGAACACGTCAAGAGATGCGCACGCACCTGTTGTTTATTCTGAAGTATGCATTTTACTATCTATTATTTGTAACGGTTCTAAAAATTAAGGCTAGTTACAGACAGAAGTTACAGACAGTGGCCTAATAACAAATAACATGATTTTCAATAAGGAGGAAAATAAAAATGCGCAATTAACTTAGGCGAAAATGAATTGGTACTATTTTTTGTGTAAAAAATATTTTAACAAATTTCGGTCACTGTGCTCTTGTAGATTAACATTTTTAGACTATGAAAATATAGATAACACACGTCATACAATTGCAGTTAGGCTACTCTGCCTCTCTAGCGGCCTCAATTAAAAACCCGATTTAAGATTGAAAAAAACGTTACATCTTCGAATTTTTCAACCTATTGTTACATGCACTTCTCGCGAAATGTCATTTCATCTTCAAAAGGTTTAAGTTGGGTAAGTAAGGGTGTTAAGATTTTAATATCGTTTTCATGATTTAAGTCAAGGTATACATAATTAGATATGTATTCTTCACATAAAACACGAAACCAAAACACGATTAAACTTGACGGATTTTTCATCTGTGCCCAAGCCGTTCTTCGGCAATCATAGGTTTTAATAATCTTTTGTTTTTAATAGACCTGTTCGCGTAGCACATATTCTCCTCTTCAGGCCCTGAGTGAGAGTACCTGTAGGGACCATGGGGCGCAAGCAGTTCCTCCTCCACCACAACCACCTCCGCGAATGCAGGTATTTATGTGCTGATAGCCTTTTGTATTTAGGAGTCTTAGGTAAATTGTGATTACACTATTTTTCAAACGAAATACCAAAAGCATTAAACAATTACAGTACAAATACTGTCTATAGTTTACGCAGGTAGTACACATTTAAATAAAACACTTTAACGGTTTAAAGCGCGATATACTAGTTAAACTTATTTGGAAATCATTTTTAACTTAGTAGTCTCCCTGTGACCACGGCTGCTGCAAAGCATCCGACACGTCGGGCCGATGTTAAAAATCATTTCCAAATTAGTTTAACTAATATATCGCATTTTAAACCGTTAAAGTGTTTTATTTAAAAATTAGAGTACAAGTACAATAATTTTAAACAATGACGAACATTGAAACGGATATTTCAAAAGAAAGACAACGTAAGGTTTTCAACTCATTTTTTCTACTTGTCATATAGTTAGTTTAGTGGTGCGGCGCAATAATTAGAAGTACCAAATGGAAAACAGTATAAGATTCGTTTCACTGAGTTGATAGATGTTTTGATGATCGATGAGACATCTTTATTAAGTACGCTAGCAGTACACATTTAAATAAGACATTTTAATAATTTAAAACGCGAATTTTTTCTCCGTCACTATGGCTGATGTTGTATTAAAAAAATGTAATTACATTTTACTAATACATTTCACGTTTTAAGCTGTTAAAAGTGTTTTATTTAAATACATTAGATTACATAGCCGTATTCAAAACTCATTAATATTATTTATTTATATTCTTTGTAACATTTATGTAAACAGACTCCGTTTACCAGGTATCCAACCAAAATGTCAGCCTACATCCCGCTGTGGCGCGCTGCACTGCATCATTAGAATTAGCAGCTCTATGGAGAAGTTTCCACGAGCTCGGTACAGAGATGATCGTCACGAAGGCTGGACGAAGAATGTTTCCAGCGCTTCAAGCTAGACTCTCTGGCTTACTCCCTAACGCTGATTACTTGCTATTGGTGGATTTCGTGCCTTTAGATGATAAGAGATATCGATATGCGTTTCACAGGTGAGACAAATGTTTAGTAACTGCTGTAGTTCATTCACAATATTTAATTATACAAACATATAGTAACTTATTTAAATATAACGCTTTTAGAGGTTTTAAACGCGATTTGTATTAGTTAAACTTATTTATAAATATGTTACAGCAGCCGTGGTCACGGGGATTTGATGAAATTTTATGTCGATACTAATATATATTATGTATGTCGATAATAATATATATTACTAATATATATATATATATATATATATATTTTTATATTTCTTTACATCAAAATACTCAGCCAGTGTGAAATAAATGTCAAAGTTTAAAAACTTCACATTTTAACTTATCGTTAGGCGCTTCTATTATGAAAATATTATTAATAAACGGTCTAATAATATATACGAAAAAATTAAAGCACAGATTAATTACAGTTCAAGCTGGGTGGTAGCGGGCAAAGCAGATCCTGTGTCTCCGCCGCGAATCCACGTCCACCCAGACTCACCAGCAACTGGTGCACATTGGATGCGACAATTGGTCTCTTTTGACAAACTGAAGCTTACTAACAACCAGCTCGATGATAATGGCCACGTAAGTTTTACAATAACAAAAAATTATAATTGTGAGTACTGTACTTACAATATTATTATTACTAGCTGTGTCAACGATTTCGTTCGCGTAGAATATATAGAAGTTATTTTGTGCATCGAAATTTGTAAAGTTTTTTTCCACTTTTCGCTCTTATTAGTCGTAGTAATAAGGGCGAAAGATAGAGCGAATAAATAAATAGATAAATACTCTTAGCTGTAAAATTTTTTTTTTCAATTTCATACAATAAAATCTTCAGCTATATAGTCTACATTATTGTTAGAAAGTTCACAGATTCCGATTTTCCCCACAGATAATTCTAAATTCGATGCATCGCTATCAACCCCGTCTTCACGTGGTATATCTTCCCGGAGATGGTCAGACCGCTGCCCCCGGGACGGTACCCTATCGCACCTTCATCTTTCCAGAAACTGGCTTTACTGCTGTCACTGCGTATCAAAACCATAGAGTGAGTACCAACCAGCATAGAATTGTCTATGCATGCCAGATATTTTGTTAGATGTATTTTCATAAAAGTGGATTATGATACACTATTTTTTAATATTTGCTTATTGAGTAGTTAGTTACGTATAAAATAAATGACATTTTCGTTTCAGATAACTCAACTGAAAATTGCAAGCAATCCTTTCGCTAAAGGTTTTCGAGATTGTGATCCAGATGACTGGTAAGTAAATTATTAATTTATTAAATCCTTTTTTAGGCATTTATTCATGTGTAACCAGTTTTCGCGCAACTAGATGATCTCAATTGTCAATGCCGTCATTTTATTCTGGAATACTACATAAGAGTTTATGTTTTATGTAGGATCTATCGAATTTTATTAAAAGTTAAATCGATACTTTGGCGTGAGAGTGGGAATAAGTGTAGATGTGTTATGATAGTGGGAGTGTTACGGCAAAGTAGCACAGTAGAATGGCTGCCTTAAACGCGCCCTTTTATAAATTAATAAACAGCCTAAATAATTAAAAATTCTACCCAAAGTCACTATTCCACGTGGACGAACACAGCGGGCACAGCTAGTTTTTAATCAATTCATAGTGCATTTGTATTTTTACAAAAAATAGAAAAGTATCTGTGAATAATACAGAACATAAATTAGATTATACCACAACCGTCTCAATACAGACTATAAATCAATTTGTATTCGACCATGCGTAGGTAATTATATACTACAAAGTAATTTTGTGATGCTCAAGGCACTTTTCAGCAGCCGGTGACAATTTAGTTTTACGAGGGCGCCGTAGAGTAAAGAGTTAGGTGACAGTTATGGCGGACGCGGCATGTCAGCCATTCCGCCAAAATAGACACGTGTATGTAATATTGGATGTCCCATTTGGGACATGGGACATAGTTTACAATCCCTTTAAAAGAAATAGAGTTAGTAGGTCAATAGACATTAGAAAAAGCAACTGTATGATCTGAAATGTGGGGGACCAGTTCAAAGACAACATAAACAAACTAGAAGTTAAAACTCTCGGAGAAAGCAACAGATATAATCGTAGGAGCAGTGATTGCCATAGATCAACCCAATATAGCTAGGTAGGTTGACAGTGCATCTTTTTTAATTGTTATACGGCTGTTGAGTTAACCTATTATTGTCTGTCCTTCTTTGTCATTACTTAGGCTTGAAATATTGTCTGTAGTTTCCTCGAATTGTACACATTTATATAAAACACATTACACAATTTAAAACGCAAAATATTATACTTAACTCTCCGTCGTTTCCGAAGACGTTAACAGCCGTGCAGTATTAAGGTTATAAACGAACTTAATCTTTATAAGACCAACCAGAATATAAAAATACGAGTGCGTCTCGAAACCAACATCGGAAATAACTTAGACTTAAATTCTAACAATTTAATAGTAACATAATATCACTCTAATAACTAAGACCTACATGTTCTTTTGGTAATAAATACACTCATACCCTACTTAAAGCCTTAAAAAGTATATACCAGAAGCCAAGATTTTTATATCTCTACAAGCTGCACATAAAATGAGACGTAAACAACCGTAGTGCAGCTGAATTAGCTGTAAATCACATACAGAAGCGGTAAAATAGTTTGTTTATGTTACAACAAACCGGCCCATCGTTTATTGGTTCGCCGGCAATATGCGTAAATCTCGTTCTCACGCTGCTGCTAAGATGGATTCGGATAATGATCTGTGTTCCTTCCACGTCCAATGAAAAGCTTACCTAATTACGAAACAGTGCCTGCCTCCCAAGATCATTCTTCTGTAGGAAATTGAACAAAATTGTGAAGAAGTAGGTATGAGTGATATCACTAAAGTTAAGCTAAATATCTAATCTTTATTCTATTCGATTAGGAATAGAATAAAATACTTACTTTTTCCGCAAAATATTATGCAGACGTCAAACGTAGTATCAAATAAAAACAATGGAGCTACTACGCTTCCAGTGGTTTATAAACAAATGTTTGATTGAATACTGTCTATAGTTTACGCGAGTAGTACACTTTTAAATAAAACACTTTTACGGTTTAAAACGCGATATATTAGTTAAACTATTTGAAAATGATTTTTAACTTCGGCCCGACGTGTCGAATGCTTTGCAGTGAATAAATAATACATGTTTTATCGCGTTTTGGTTTCAGTTCGTGTATAGTCAAAGTTAACGAGAGGGGTATTTTACCTACTATCAATCGATCCCCAGTCTAGTTTTTCCTTTATTAACAAAAAAAATATATATTTATTAAAAACCAATTAAATCTTTACAGAACAATAATTCTAACATGAAAGTAAGTTACAATAAATGTTAGTAAGTTATTAAATGTTATCGTACGTAAAAAAATTACATTATATCGAACGAAGTAATTTTAAACGCAGGTGACACTGCAGGCGTAAGATAGTGTTAGCATAAAAAGTATGTGTTAAGTGAAATATTTGTTTTAGAAAGTTATTAATTGCTATTTCCATCAGACGTCTTGATAATAAACAAATTAGTCATTAATTATGTTCAGCAAAAAATGTTCCACCATGTGTGCAAACAAAGTGCGTTTGGGACAGAAACGACTGTATGTAGGGCGACCTTCTTTTGGAGTTTTATGGGACTATAATTTTATTTGAAATTTGTTATTTATATAGTTCAATGAATATGTGTAGGTTTTACGAAGAATGTGGACAAAGACAGTTTTATGGAAATGTTGTTCACAGGGATCTAGTTATTTATTTTCTTTGTTATTAATGTTTACAACTTTTTTTAATAATTGCAAACTTGACTTAATATTACTTATTGTAATTGTGAAAATCTATAGTAATAATGAATTGGATTACAAATCATCTTTTATTTAATGTGTAGTTTAAAATAAAAACTTATAATAATAGCAATTAAAGCTTATGATCATGGCCACACTATGATTACATTTTTTGGATCCAGTTTCCATGTAAGGATGATCAATGTATAACGACATAACACCAAGAATAAGTTATGAGTCTCCATTTGTCGTTTGTTGTCAAAATAAAATATTATCTAGGAAATTTGATTCTTCCATTTAAATGTTGAGTATATCCAAGTATGCTAAATAAACTTATACTTAATATCTACTTTTGTTTTGATATATAAATTACTACTATCAGGCTACAATACTTTGTTCGTTTGTAATACAAGCTAATACAATATAGGAAAAGGATATAAAAAGTTTTGACGATTTAAAGAGAGGTATATGTATTACTAGCTGTGCCCGCGACTTCGTTCGCGTGGAATAGTGCCTTGGGTTAGAATTTTTAATTATTTAGGCTGTTTATTAATTTATGTAAGGGCGCGCACTACTTTGCCGCAACACTCTTACCTCACATCACTCCTACTCTAACTTCCACTCTCATTCCTACACTCACTCTCACTCTCACTCCCACTCCTATTCCCAAAAACCAAAGAAGAAAGTTTCATTCAAGCTTCAAAAACCACGAATTTCCATACAAACTTTCATCCCTCCTTTTAACCCCTTACAACCCTCTTTTCGCAATAAAAAGCCCATCTCTTTTCTGAGGCGCTAAAATATTTATGTACCAAATTTCATTTAAATCCGTTCAGTAGTTTCGGAGTTAAAGCCGGACAGACAGACAGACAGACTTCACATTTCTCGCTGTATCTTCGCTCCTATTAGTCACATCGCAATGTGTTATAGCCTATAACCTTCCTCGATAAAAGCTCTTACCAACACAAGAATAATTTTAATCAATTCGAACCCGTACTTCCTGAGATTAGCGCCTTCAAACAAACAAAATCTTCAGCTTTATATATTAGTATAGATATAAGTTAATTTCACATAAAAAATCACCAGTCGATGTTTCCAAAATAGCTACGTTTTAGATTCATAATTAATAATGTCCACTTTAAGCCATTCTTAAATTAAATTAAATCAATAGATAATTTATAAAATGTTTCAAGAGTAACTACAGATTATTTTAGATCTTTTGTTTTTATTCGTTTGGGGTTTATTTGTTAGTTTATTTTTTCAGCCCACCAGACCAAAGTCCACAGAGGAGTGCACCGCGAAGACGTGAACCTCAGCCAGCTGAGCCCTACTCTTTGGGGCAACCTTACGCTGGTGATCCCAGTTCTAGTGGACCATTATATCCTGCACATGCCCACCCAGTTAGGTATTATTTATTTGCTCATAATAAAGTATTCTGTAATTTAACAATGTGTTTAGCATTGCATTGATTTCGATGGTCTTTGGTTAGTTTCATGACATTACATTAGCTTCTCGTACCTATTATGAGACCCCAGTAAGAAATAAATATAATTCAAAAAAATAATTAGTAAATGAAATCAATTTAAAAAGGGATACATTTCAATTATTCCTTTTCTATGTTGCCAGTATTTAAACACACAATTTGACATTGACATTAGATTTCTTTTTTTTAGATACCAGCCACACGCGGGACACAATAGTGCCTACTCCGCGTATTACGCCCACAGATAATAAACATATTTTATAAGTGTAAAACGTATGTGATATAGATTATAGACAAGATTGTATTTTCAGAATGTACCTACGTTTCTTTTACTTAGAAATTACTTAAACTTTTTACTCGTACACAAGTGAATATGAGGTAGTTAGTATGTTTAGTTTTGTAAGTATTAGAGGATTTCTGTATGATTAATTAAGGATTCAGAATTCACAAAAACATTAAGGAACAAAACCGTTTCACAGCCTTTGTAAATATCTTTATTGATAGTCGTAAAAATTACATAATTTATGTTAATTTATTAACGAAATCTTCGTTTTACCATGTACATACGTGGTTTTTTTTTTTAATTTAAGGAACCGTGTCGTACGTACTCGTTATAAGAAAAGTACAGCCTTACAAGTGCCATACTATCGTAACCAAAAAGTTAGTATATTTATACATTACAAAAATAAAATAAAGTGCAGTGTTTCATTTATTATTGCAATAAGATGACTCGCCAAAATTTTTACTAGCTATAACAGAGGGGAAAAAAAAAAAAAAAAAAAAAAAAAAAAAAAAAAAAAAAAAAAAACCCAAAAAAAAAAAAAAAAAACCCCCCCCCAAAATTTTAAAAACATTCCCCCCCCTTTGGCTTACCAAAACCAAAACCAAAAAAAAATTATTTTACTTAAAAATTAAAATCTGAAAGCCCAAAAAAAAAAGGAGTGTTACTTATGAATTATGAATATTGAATTTTTGACAAGTACGAAGCCTACGAAGCCGACAAATATATATTTACACATTTGACAATGATTGTTGTATTCGTACCTATTAGTAATTTTATAATAATTATTTAATATCATAATGCTTACTTAAAAGTTATTAAAAATAGAATAGAATAGAATAGAAGACATTTATTCAGAGACAACACGAGACATTTAACAAACACAATAAAAAGAATCATTACAAATAAAATAAAAATAACTTATTACATATGAAATAATAAACAGATAAAATAGTTGCCTCCGAAAAGGAGTCCACTCAGCGTTACGTTGGGACTAATGTCCCAACACTGATATTCTGTGGCCCCGTTAGAGCATTCAAATAAACTACAATCTGTTTAACATTTAAGTGTTTATATTAAACAAGCCTATTTATATATAAGCTTATGCAAGACACCTTTGATTCAGCCCACTAATTAATCGAACTAAAACGATATACATATAAGAAAAATATTTTATTTAATCTTACGAATAAATATCAATTTACTAGGTAAGCAAACTAAGCGAAGCAACTCTAGCTTTGTTTGCCGTCAATTATTGAATAAACTATTAAACATATGAAAAGTATTGCAAAAGATTTAGACTTTCCCAACAACTCCGGTGAGTAAGGTAAGTTTACATTAAAAAGAAATAGTATTGCATTTGTTGTGGTAACGTTTCGATGTGCGGTTTTCTGAAATGGGTACTTTCAGCTACTGAATACGTCATCACATGGTTAACGCTCATAGAACCTGGTTCTTCGTCATCTTTGACGTAAATCTTAGACGATATCGTCTCTTCAATTTCTTCTCCAGTACACTTCGGTTCCGATTCTATAGGTTCTAGAATAACCGATGTCATTGGTTCCATAGCACAGAAGGGAAATACATCTTCAGGTTGGTACGAAATGGTATCGTAAAAAGTTGGTCTTGGTGTTACTGGGCTGTAGTGGTGGGCGGGTTCAGAGTTATAACCCGTATATATGAAACGGTCATCAATAGGATGGTCTGTACAATATGACTCAGTGGAGTTTTTAGGTTGAGGAATAGTGTTGTTCTTCGAAATTACTGTCTGATTAGCATTTAGATCGCAAACATCTTGCAATATGGATGTTAGTTCCTGTGCCTGTTCACTACCAGCTAAAGCAAAGTCGCTTAAAATGTCAGGGTCCGCTTTGAACGGTATGTTGTACTTGTCAGCTATTTCCTGAGCGCTCATCATTTTTTCAATGGCTATATTTTGGTAATCGTTATTGCTTTTGATGTGTTTAAGTAATCTCATGACTAATTGAGTGCTGTCCAGTGGCGATTCTATGGACCGTTTCTTTCTTAAAGTATTTCCTTCAGGAGCATCTGTTGCTGAAACTGCATACGACAGGAGGTTCACCATTTCACTCTGAATTGCCATTGTGATTTGATTAGCCATTTCCTTGATTTCTTCCAATTGTTCTTCTGGAGGCTTGTCTGATAATACGGCTTGAGCCATTAACGTAGATGACGATGTTGGGTATATGGGAGTTGGAGAACTTAATACTATATCCATCCAGTCGAGAGGAGCGGCTTCTGGTCCCTTAACAATTTGGTCATCTTCAAATACATTTGCTGCAGCGACTCCTAAAATATTAGTGCTATTTTGTCCATCGCTAACGCCAATTTCGGCGTAGATTAAAGAGCTCTAAAAATAAATAGAAAACGTTAGTAATTTTTTCCTTTTCACGATACAAGTGTCAAATATACACAAAGCTCAACTTTTTATTCTATTTACCTGAATTATTAAGGCTAACATAAAGTAGAACGGTGTCATCGTGACTATTATGTTATGATTATCGATGGCACGTCGTTATTTATATTTGAATTTATCTTTTATTAAGAAACGATTTAGTCAATGCAAAATAACAGACACTTTTGTAATACTTATCATTAACTGATGAAATAGATTAGGTCGGTTACATTGTTTTTAAGAAATTTTGATTTAATATGGTAATTTGGATTACAATAATTACGTGTTTAGTTAGGTCTTAGATAAGGTGGGGGGTAGGGTACTGGACTCGGGACATAGGCTGGAGCATACGGCTGGTAGGGAGGTCTGTATGGTGGCGGATATTCTGGTGGGGTGTATTCCCAGTTTTGGTAAGACATCACTGGAGGAGCCGGTAGCGTCAGTGGTGTGTTGTAATATTGCTGATAATATTGGTCATAATAATTCCATCCTGGTTGTTGTGCTGGATAAACGTATTCAGGCAATGATGTCTCTTGGCCATAGTAGGTATGTGCAGGGTTTCCTATCGCCGGTGCCATGTATACAGCTGGTGGTGGCGCGGGATATGGAGAACAGTAAGGTGTTTCAAATGATGGCGGGGGTGGACATTCTGATGCTGGGTTAGAAATGGTAGATGGAGTTGTCGTTGTTGTCTGCTGAGATTTTGGAAAAAGAGCTGCAATAAAAAATCGAATTAGTATTCATCTGGTTTAAGTTGTCATGTTGTTAACTATAGTATAATAGCGTTGGTAATTATAATAAGCAAATTCCATACACCTCAGCAAAAACACTGTTTACAAACATTGAAATGTCTACTTACGAGACGAGTAGAGCGTGCTCAGCATCTGGTTCATGCGTTCATGAAGAGAAGCCAACTAGAAAAAAATCAATACATCTCTGAATACCTATTTCACATGAGAGAATCAGGCCAGTACTTGATCATAATGTTCTGCTCGATCTTTACAATGTATAATACTTTTCCCGTTTTTGAACCCAGTCCATTTAATATACAAATGAATAAAAGGCAATCTAAACGGTATGCTTAAACGTATTGTATTACCGATTTTTATTAATATTAATAAGAATTTTGTCTAAGAATACGTTAAGTAAAAAAAATATGGGTTATATGCATGGCTTAGACGATAACTTTATAGATTGGTAAATATGGATAAAATGGGGAAAATTATTCGTCTTTGTGGGTTTATGTTGCGTGCGCTGCGAAAAAGGTCCAAAAAAATTGTAGGAAAGAAAGATTCATTCTAAAAAAATCTGTGACAGTCTATATCCATCTTTTAATATTTATGTTTCTGAGATAGTACAGTGCACACAAGATCAGAATAGCTACCTTTTGTGTAAAAACTTACATGTGATTGTTGAATTTCATGACAACTTGTGGTCGCATCACTCACACTAAGAAAGATAGCAAACGTAATAATTATACTTAACATTTCGCTTAGTTGCTATTTTGTTTCCATTTATCGATACAGTTTGATATATTTACAGAAAAACTTTATTTAAATACTTCGAGCAATCAAATTACGTGTGAGGAGGCTGTACGACACATAAGATAAGATTTTATTCGATTCTCAGATAAAGGTTGTATTTTGTGCGTGAGGAAAACTAAAGACAAATTCCCATTAACAGATAAGAGTTTATTGAATCTGATATTCAGGATTTCTAGAAACATCTATCTATTAAGATATAAGAACATCTTTAGCGTGCTTAGCTTATTCATATAGATATATTGCAGTACCGTTAGTAAAACTATTTTGAAGGAAATAACTATGACGAAAACCTTTTGGTTATTGTACAAGCCATTGTAACAATGTTAACTTAACGATCCAATCTCGTTAAAGTTAGTTGAAATTTGTTTTATTTTTATTATTTACTAATCGTTTAAACTACTGGTACACTAAAATTAATATAAATACCTTTATTGGGACCATAAAACCTACAGTTATAAGGTTTTGTATCCGCCACGTTTATTAGAAATTATATTTAAAGGACACAAAATAACGTATTGTCTCATACCGGTAGATTATTTTACATTGAAAGTGAAGATCATTTATCTAATTATCTATTTTTCTTAAGTGCTTAAATATTGCAAGCAGAACTATTTAATTCCAATGTGTTTTGCAAAGTTAACATTGCTATAACATTAATTTACTTTACATAAGACACCGTTAATTTTGACTTTGAATTAAACTTCACGATTAAAATTTCGAAACCAAGTATTACTATAGAAAGAATCGTAGTTACTAAGGTGATTCCGAAAATTGGTGCGATATCATAAAAGTTGACTCTTTCCGCGAGTAACGCCGCGCGGCAGGGTGGTGGACGGCTGCGCAATTGAGACACCAGCTGTTTTGCTAAACCGGTTTCACGGAGCCACGCTCCTGATGATTTGAAGATTTCAGTCCATTGTCCACGTTTTGTTGTAGTGATCCATGTCAGGGACTGGAAATGTGAAAACAAGGCTTCAACAATATCTTATAGTTATCGTCAAAAATTATAGCAGTTTTTTGTGAAGCTAGTGACAGTTGACCATAGTGTAAGAGAATCTTATATCACTTGATTGTGATTGAAGTTGTAAAAATCGAATGCTGTTGTTTTTCAATGAGCTCTCTTAAAAGTATTTCAAAAAATCGTTCGGTTACAAATGCATTGATAGATTTCTTTATCTTCGCGCTTATAATTTTTAACCGATTTTGATATAACGTATTGTTAATTTCTGTTATTCCGAGTAATTGAGCCCTGGAATTCGACGAAACATATTAAAATTTATAAACCAGAAGCACTATAAGAAATTATTAAACGCTTATAACGTTGTGTATTCATAACATCTTTAAAATTTTCGTCTACTTACCTCCGGAACTGTATCAATATATTGAAGTTTACATAATTGATCATCAGTGAAAACTTTTAAGTATGGAAACAGTTGATTATATTCAGTATGATAAGCCGTCTGACCGCTTTGAATCATTTTCACGCCTGTTCTGATGTCCTGGTAGAACGTCGGAGACAATTTCTTACGTTTTAAGTACTCTAGATCATACCAGTTTGTTGGGACCTGTGTAGAAAAAAAAAAAATTGTATTCTGTAATACAAGGATACGTTACACAGGATATTTAATAGGTTACTACATTACTTAAACAAGCAAATCTGTAGTTTTAGCGAGTTTATACTAAAATAAAACACTTAAAATGCGCCCGTCAACTTGACCGATATTTTTTGCTTTTTAAACCGTTGAAAGTTTCATTTAAATTTCTTAAGTGAAGCAAGCTGTGAATCCAACACAACGTTAGTGCAACAATACCAAGTGCTACATTTTACAAAATAAATTACTAAACATAATACAATATAAAACAGCATTTTATTAAGTAGTAATATAAGATACTCACATCAAACATCAAGTACCGCATATAATCATAATCCTCGGAAGCGATGGAATATCGGGAGTCTCCGAGTGACTTCAAAGAATCTGGACCACTTCTTCCGGTACTCATGAGGGCTGATACTATAGCTGAAGTGTAGTACGCATGTATGAGCATCGCCGATATGGACAGCACCAGAAAGGTCCAACGTCCCGATATACCTTGTGGTACGGCACTAGCATCTGTTAATTTTAGTCAAGATTAAAACATAAAATCACAAAAAAAAGTCCGGTAAATTTATAAATTATAGAAATATGACTATTATATATTTATGTGTATTGTACTACACATAAATTTGTAATGGTAATATGACATAACCGACCACAAGTCAAAAATTATGCGATTTTTACAAAGGTATAAGATATAAGCCTTTGAGAAAACCTTTTTTGTCGGATGTACGAAAATTACGCTACAAAAACTTTTTTTTATTATTTCGTTTCAAGCGACGAAAAACAACAAATTTGACATCTTTATACACCGGTAAAAGTAATAATATATACGACTTGTCACCTTGTTGTAAGCAAGTCGCCAGAACAGCGATGAAAGCGCCCTCTTTTTCCAGATCTGTTTTCGCCGTGCATCTTTGGGCTAACATTAAGATAGGCAAAAGTGCTATGCAGCACCACCAAATAGCAGGAGTAAATGGAGTTACGAACATATTGCTGCTACTCTCGCGTTCAGCCAAGTACGTGAAACCAACCCTACAAGGTTATTAACTTTTAAATAAAACATAATTAACGGTTTAAAACGTGAAATGTAAATTATGGCTCGAGACACGGGTCTCTCCGTAACCACGGCGGCTGCAAAGCATCCGAAACCTACGAAACGGCCATTGTTAAATTAATTAGTAAATAAGTTGAAGTTACATTTCGCGTTTTAAACTGTTAAACGGTTTATTAAATGTGTACTACTCGTGTAAGCTACAGACAGTATTTATATTATTTACCACTAAAAAATATATACTTCCTTAAAAATGTGTATTTTTAAAAAGTATTAGTATTCTTCGTCACATTATCTATAAGTACTAAAATGAGACGATGTAAAAATGTGATATACCTATCTTTACCAAGAAAATAGAGCGAACACAATTTTGAGTCCGTTACAATTCAACTAGAAAGGCGTCGTTGATTAACATAATATTATTCTTAATATTACAAAGATCTTTCAATACCAACAAAAGTATGCACAAGGGCGTACATAAGTTCATAGATATTAACTGTTTTATATTGATTTCGTAAAAGAGTATTTCTTTATGATCTGTTAATGTTAATATTTTTATAGGTTTACGAACCGGAACGGCCAAATGTTCATAGCGTAGTCAAGTTTCTCAAATCTGCTTGGCATGATTCGCAAGACACCCCCACTAAGATCAGCGGACCCGTAGTGAAGTTTTAGCAGCATACTATCGTTGCTTACTTCTGTACTCCACAGCTTTGTTGGAACGAGTACAGCACTTCGAATATAATATATGGATGGAATAATATACAATGATAATTTTAATATTGGTATGTGCAAAATCTTAATTATAAATAAATAAGAAATAGATTTGCCGGGCTCGTTGGTGTAAATATTAAATGGTAGAAATACTTACCACCAATTTAAAATTCAGATTTCCGGGCGAAATCCAGCATATTGCAGAAAAACTATAAATTGCTTATAAAATTTTTGGACCCGATGGGGATTAAAGCCAGTACCCGATGATAATTGTCCATACATTGCTTCTATTACAAAAACAAGCTCGTCAAACTGGTTGATTCGGAATTGGTTCACAGGTGTAGGTTTTGGTAGTGGGAAATAACAATCAGAAGAAGAAGAAAAAAGAAAATAACACAAATGTTTTATAAAGTAAGTAAAAAATCACAAACTCACGTAGCGTTTAGTCTTTCTGTGATCAAAGATGAGGTGGTAAATGCACAACGGACTCCGGAATCTCTTTCTGGCATTGACATGTCTTTGAGGTAGTCCAGGAAAGATCCATCATAGGTGTCATTGCTGTAGAGGCCTAGCTATACATGGACAATGAGGTAGATTTAACAGTCAGAACTATTTTCTACTAAGAAAGTTGTTAGTTCGCTTTCAGATTAGTTAACTGGTGAATTGGTTAGAAAAGGACAGGAGAATAAACTTATTATATCACATAATAAATCAGTTGCTAACGTATAAATACATACACACATAACAAGTAAAGCTTTGTTTGTTTGAACGCGCTAATCTACTGGTTCGAATTAAAAAATCTTTTCGTGTTGGTTAGAGCATTAATCGGGGAAGGTTATATAAAACTTCTAAAACTTCACATTGTGACTAATAGGAGCGTAGAAACAGCGGAAAATGTGTAAGAAACGCGGAAAATTATTCATCTCTGTGGGTTTCCAAAGCGTATCTTATAAAATTTTAAATACAGCATTTTCAAAAAAAATATTGCTTATCTAATAGTAAAATGGGGTGTAGTTAAAATAAATTGTAAATAAGTCAACTAATATATTTCGCGTTTTAAACCGTTGACGTGTTTTATTTAAACGTCTACTACACGCGTATAATGCAAGCAGCATTGAAATAAAACTTTATAAATGTCTTAAAAAATCTAAAACTACGTGTTGATAGTTATACGCAAATAAATAATATATACAAAACAAAATACAAATTTTCAATTTCAAGTTAGGCCATGATTGTTGAATGATGAAAATAGAAAAATATTATAATTAATACCGGAGTAGCGATTCTTATTGAAGAGTGAAGCAGATTGAATCGTCTTATCATCCTCTCCTTTTCATGAACGACCACGAGTCCTTCTCTTGACGTAAATTGTGCCCAAGCATGGATTGAAACTTCACGATTAGGTTGTACGTACACATCTCTTATTTCCACTTCTGAAAAAATTTTAACAAACCTCTCATCACGAATATGGTGCATAAGGTTTTCGCGATTTTGCAAAGTTATTTTAACTGCGACCCGTTACTTCGGATGCTTTGCAGCGGATGTGATCACGGAAATAAAAAGTAAATAAGTGAACGAATATATTACACGTTTTAAACAGTTAAATGCATTGATTAAATTTGTATACTCGCGAAAAGAAACACTATTTAAAATTTGTTACTTTTTATAAGTAGAATCTCCATAATACTTTTGGTTCATACAAATAACTTAACTGTTTGCAGACTCAATATTATTTAAAAAAGTCCCATTTATGTAGACTATATCGGCATCATATCGCCCTTTATTAAGTCTTTCGGGAATATTCTCCGAAATAATTATCCATTTATACCAATTAGAGAAAAGCTCAGACCGGACCTGAAATTTTAACAATTAATAAAAGCGTTTATATCACGCATTATATGCAGTTCAAGTGCGCGGAATATTAAAATAAATAAAACTCAATTAAACAATTCAAAAAAAATTTAAATTTAATTTTTTTTCCAGGAAATTATTGAAGAGTTTTAACCATTTTTAACTCTTCATAAGTTGTAGTCATGTACAATATTCCTTGTAAACGGTGGTTTGTATAAATAAATTCCTTGAGCGTATCTACATCACACAAAACTGTTGCCGGTATATTGAACGAGTTAAGATTCCGAACCAATTTTGCATTGTCTAGAAAAAAAGGACAGAGATATATAGTATCAGCCTTGTTGGTTGTAACACTTGATTGACCAGACCAGAACCTGGGCTCGATTCACAGGTATGACAAAAAAAAACCCTCGTGCCTAAAAGGGTACGGTAAGCCGTCGGTTCTTATTATCATCAGTAATTTAGTTTTTAAATCTTGACAACCTACAACGGAACTGCGTGGTAAGTCTAAGGGCTTAAATATTCGTTTCTCTGTGAATGAGACCTTTGTCAAACAATGGGACATCAATTATATAATTAATGGGACACTAATTATAGATTGTATAAACAGATGAACTAAAAATCTTTGGTGGTCAACTTAAAATTTGATTTTCGTTATCAAAATATACATAGGTAGAGTGATTCTTACCAAACTTATTATTGCAGGATAAAATAATGACACTAGCCACAATTTTAAGCTTAAATACCAGAGCAATTGCTTGAAACATGATATCGGAAGTGCATATTTCAATTCTAGATTTATGCGATTCCAATATGTCCACTCCCTTTTAAATGGAATAGAATTTTTATAGCACTAGTTGCGACCCCCGTCTTCCTTTCAGTTAATACTGAACACAATTTAAGTTAACACGTGCCTTGGTAGCTTATTGCTTAGCAAAGTCCCAAACATAATAAAAAATATCTGTATAATACCAAAAAAGGTCAGCAGCTATCATTATATTGATGTTATAGGGATGAGACATTTCACCGTCCATGAAGTGTTCTCTTCTTCTTCTTTCTTCATCTTAACAGTTTTGGTTAGGATGGCCACCGGAAGTTACATGTTTACTAATAGTGACATTAATACTAAAACAAATAATATATTTTGCGTTTTAAAGCGTTACAAATGTTCTATTTAAGAACTTATCCTCAAAAAGTTAATTTTCATAAGAAAAATTGTTCCCGAAACACTAGTCATATTTTGTATAACGACAAACAAACTCAGTCCAAGTTGCGTTCTGTCCATATAGTAAAAATGTATATTAGCAGTGTATTAAATAAAATATTAGAATCGGCGAATTCGAAATTATACCTTAGACATGCTGCTAAATGACTGGGTGTGGTAAGTATAAACCAAAATAAATAGGTCACACTAAAACATTTACAATAATCAAAATTATTTCGACATTATTCAAAGTATAATTTAAAATGCTAAAACTTGTTATGTAATTGTAATGCACAAATAAGTTTAATAATTTTTATCTCAAGCTAACATTATCAATGTATGTGTCGGAATACTATTATATATACTTTACCGTCTCAATGGTTAAAAGCGCAATGGTAAAAAGGTACTGCATTCGAATCTCATGGAAATAACATATAATCATCCATTCATATAGATAGGCACGGAATATAATCCATTTGTAAGACCTTCTTGTTAGAAAATAAATCAATGTTAATTTTTTGTATTAATCAATATGGGAAAAATTACATGCATATGAGGGTATAATATCATTTATTCGTAATAAACTTAAATACTACATATAAATACAAATAAGAAGAATAAAAAAAAATATGGCAAAGTTATTCATCGTTTTACAAATTGCTCGGATGTTTCAACACAGTAAAGTATCTGTAACGTCCTAAGGTCTCGAATAAAAGTATTCTCTTTTAATAAAAATAAAGAAACAAAAAAAAACTGCTTGTTGTGGATGCCGGTTCGAGTGTTAACCGTGTCGCATTTTTTTTTTAATTCATCAAAATTTTTAAACAAAAGCCTTCGAAAAAAAAAAACCTCTAATGGATTGGTAAACATGGCGGAGTTATTGTGCGTTTTATTACCGTAATTTATAAAATCGAAAACATTTTTAATTTAACTAAGTATGATGTTTTTTTGTTGAAAAATCCTTCCGGAATAATCGAAGCTCTTCACTTATAGTGACAACCGCATGGGGGTTTTATTGGTTTTGCTTCTAATGATACTGGAACCGGTGGGGGGACCATGTAAGCAGTCATGGGCATCGAAGGTGGAGCACAACCACATGTAGGTGCACCGCAAGGACACGGTGAAGGAGGTGGAGCCAAAGATACAACGATAGGAGCAGGTGGCTGACATGGTGGAGGTGCAGAGAACACCATAGGAGGAGGTGGAGCACAGGGCGCAGATAGCATTATGGGAGCAGGGTGTGGAGCACATGGCGTGGGTAGCATAATTGGAGCAGGAGGACCGCAAGGAGCAGGTAACAGTATGGGAGCGGGAGGAGAACAGGGAGCAGGAGCTTGTAACATGATTGGAGAGGGTGGTGGGGAACACGGAGCAGGCAACATAATGGGGGCAGGTGGTGCGGCACAAGGTGTAGGTAATGCGATTGGAACTGGCGCTGGAGCACAGCCACAAGCAGGAGCGCCGCAATGACATGATGAAGAAGGTGGAGATAGAACAATAGGAGCTGGCGATAGGCAAGGAGGTGCTGATAGAACAACTGGCTGCACTTGTGGCGAGGCACACGGAGGCGGACTTGATGGCATCAGAAGCAATGTGGGAGTAGGTTCTGGTTCTTCCAAGCATTTAGAACATGATTTTTTTTCTGTAAATAATATATTATTAATGCGACACCGCATATATGAATAATGTTACTTATTGTAATAATATAATTTTTCTTACCAAGCTTAGCGGTCAACAGCGGTTTTAGAAGTCTGCGGACAAAATTTTAAAATATTAGTCGTTCAATATTACGTTTGAATTTAAAAGGTAGTGAATATACTTACGAGGCAAGCACGGCTTTCTCACACTGCTTTATTTCTTTGATTGCTTCCAGCTATAAGGAATAAACTAAATGTAAGTATAGTTAATAGTTTAGTTAAAAAGGAATATTTTTTTTTCAATGGAGACATTGTTTTATAAGAAATAGTGTAAATAGATATTCACCAAACATATGCCTTTGTCATCGCAAGCAGAAATATAACTCGATGTCAGTACGAACAAGGTTAGGGAGGACCAAAATAGTCGTCCCCCCATTTTCGTTGTTACCAAAACAAAATAAAATGAATTGTGACTAAATTCATCAAATTGTACTATTTAAAAGAAACAGTTTAACACATAAGAACGTAATTACATAATACTATTCGACATATGATGTTGTAAGTTTTTCTACGATAAGATAAAACATGTTTTGAAGTTTAAAAGTACCTTATATTTATTATAATTATAAAATCTTTATCAGAGCTTATCTGGTTTATTGCATATTTTTTAAGAAATCGTTTAAATTCTTGTAGTAACTGAAATAAATGTCCATTCTATATTACGTCTTGTAAGGTTTCATGGTTTTTTACTGGACCTACTTTATCTCAATAACATCGTTATTACTAGACCAATTTTTTTGATTGAAAGTTACAAAGGAAACGTTGTTCGTTACTATTTTTTAACCAAATATGGTGGCATCTCTTCATATTTATAGTGTCACAATAATATTTATTCTTACAGCATTGGTAAAAAAAGTGTTTAAAAATGTATTACTATTGTTTCCGTATCTTAAAAGTTATTCCGTATCTATTAATATTTTTCCCTTCCAGACAGAAGTAAGTTGCGGAACCAATCGTGATTTTCTCTCAAGTGACCTCAAGAAAATTAGAAACTCACTCGAAATAAAGAAGTTTTTAAGAAGCCTTAAGATCGATCCTCTTAAATTACCGACAAAATCTCCCACTACATTTCCTTCTATAAACGTTATAACAAAGCTAAAAAACATGGGTAAACTTAAAGCAATTGACACTTCTTTGAAGAAAATAATAAGGAAAACTAAAATACCACCCGTACTTGCTTTACCATTACCTATTATACCGATTATTTCCCCTTTACCTCTTATTCCTCCTTTACCAATAATTCCCCCTTTACCACTCATTCCCCCTTTACCACTCATTCCTTTGCCAATCACCCATCGGTTACCTAAACCTTTGAAAATTAAAAATAGCTTGAAGAAAAATTCTCTCCAAAAAGCTCTTGGTTCCGAAACAATGTTTGCGATAACACCATCCCCTACATCAAGTAAGACTATAGCTCAAACCTTACTGGATTTGAGAAATAAAGGTTCCCTTACAACATCAGAGTATTTAAGATTTACGAAACTTTTACTATAATTATTTAATTCACTATCTTATAAGTTAATTATTGAACAATAATTCGTGGATGCAAATTGTGATATTATTGTATAAGTAACAAATAAAACTATGTTATCATTACTTATATCTATTTATCTGTCAGACATTTTTATAAATATTTACACTAATACATTCAACTTATAAATACTCAAGTCAACTCAGCGTTTTGAAGCAAGTTTATGCTTTTTAGCTTTGTTTAAGAGATCATTAAAGGATTTAACTACAGCATCTTTAATCTTTCCAACATATGAGATGAAAGGCCAAGCGAAAGGTCGGTCTTCTGCTTTACAGCTGAAACACAGTTCTTCTCCTTTGGGACTCAAAAGGTTTTTCTTCAATAGTATACTGCTCTGAAAACAATAAACTTAATTAGGAAAATATTTCATTGTTTATGTCCTCGTATATAACAAAGATATAACTATGTTTTAATCAAATTTGACTCAAATATTTTTTAAAGAAAGTCTTTACTAAACTTAATTTACAATATTGCGTATATCGAAATCAAAATGTCCTCTAAACAGTGCTTAAACTTTCGACGATTATGACGAAAACTTTTCTTTTAACATTGCACACGATGGCACTATATAGATTAAAAATCGAAAATAAATTTAAAAAATTTTCGACTAGGGCAGGACTTGAACCGGCATCGTGCTTTCCGTGCTGTAACCAATTGAGCTACCGAGTCCATTGTCCAATTTATCTTCGATTTTTAGCCTTGCCAGAGACAAAAGACGACAGATATTTTTTTTTTCAATGAAAGTATGTGACTTTGTTAATTAGCCATTCTTAAATTTATTACTACAAACCTCCGCAACGAAGACACACATTACGACAAATACCCAAACATTCTTTTTCCAATTCATTTTCGTAGTAAGATCTCGCTAAGAGGAATAATACGACGCTTCCCGCGTAAATACCACGAACTAACCACTGCATGTTGTCAAGATATTCTTTTAATGCTGGCACGTAAAGATATCGACTGATTAACCTTGTTCGAGTTAATGTTGCTGAGTCTGCGTTTTATTCGATACGTGACACCTTTATCGAGTTATTAAAATGTTCCGATCACGGAGAGAATAGCATGTCTCGAAACGTGGTGATTGTTACTTTAATTGTGGTTAGTATTAAATAGATAGTGGTTTCGTGGAAATTTTGCTATACGTGATAAAGATGTGTGAATTACAAATCGCGATGTAACTGATAACAGCATACCCACGGAAGAAAAAAGAAAATCAAAAATTCAATCGATATTTTGATTTAGTGATGTTTTGTGTTCTCGTTCATCATTTTGTAGTTTGCTTAAAAGCTCTGTTGGTTAAGTGATCAGTGCATTGGAATTAACTAATTTACGTGCTCTAAAATATTTAACACTGAGTACATTCTCTTTCGTGCTTTGTATGGGTTGAATGAACATTGTCGTGTTCTAGAAGAAAATTATCGAGATATCTACTGTACAGTGTACACGCATTCAACCAACATGTAGCTTGGTAGAATGAAGTCTATATTCCTACATACTACATGTGTAATATGTACATATAACCTCTAAGAAGCAATATTAAACATCATAATAACTTATTAACTTGGCTACACAATATTATTATAGTTTCTTTATGTAGTATGCTGTTGTGCTGCGAAACATTTGTTTCGATATATATAAATGATGATACTCCTATGACATGACACTTTAAAATTAGTTCCTTTTAGTTTTATGATTATCCTTTGATGTGTTATTTCCCCTTGGGTTAGTTTTCCTTTAAAACATTATTGAATTTAGTAAAATATTTTAGATTCAAACTCGCGTGAAACTCGCAGGATTGGAAGCCAGGACAGCCATATTGCGTCATTGCTAATATCATGACTGTTTATAATCTAAAAATATAAGCTAGGGATGTGAAAGAAAGGGCGTGTATGTATTGAGGAATAAAATAAAGTTTTCCAATTTTCAGGTGAAGTTGGCGACTACTGCTCCTTCACCACTTCAAGTGGCAATCGGTTGCGGTTCTGATGAGGTTTGTTTTGTATACCCCCTTTTTGAAATAGTGTAAGCAGCTAAAATTTTAATTATTTGTTTCCATTAGACATTTTGCATAAAACGTAAATAAGTGTCGAACATCCGTTTCTATTACATAGAGCAAACACTTCTGTGTCTCTGATCATTCGACGTTATTGATCAATTGTATTTCTTAAGTTGATCAGACATCTTAGTTTTGCTATATAGGTACATATTATGTTTTCTTCTTGACTCAAATGGGTTATTTCTTTTTTTACTGTATTAGTAATTGTTTCCTCGTTACTGCTGTTATGACTGAGTTACTAAACGCGATTCCTAGTATTGTGTTAGGTCATGGATTAGAATTTCGGGGAATAAGACTTCTAGACTGAGACACTAACTATACTACTTTCTTATTTTATAAAACCAGTTTATTTTATAACAATTTATAAATGTTCACAATTTGTCTTCACAGAAATCAAGATCCTCGGAGATTTTAAACGATAACTCTAATTCTGACATCGATTCGTTTTGCGACCTGATCAACAACGTGGTACCCAAAGGCATCAAGGATGGCAAGTTCGTGCTTCCTGAATCTCGTTCTGATGAAGATCTCATAGGCAATAGCAACGCCCCGATTGGCGCAGCGCTTGCACCACCAAGCGGCTTCATACCAAAATTCTCATCAAAACCCAAGATAAGACTTAAAACGCCCAAAATAAACACCCCGAAATTAATACCGCATGCCAATATAAGAGCCCCAAAACTAAGTGCTCCGATGTCATTTCCATCTCTAAGAAAAGTTCTACATGAAGACTCAAGTGCTGAAAGAATGGAGAGGTTCAAGAGCGGTGTTCAAAAAATGCTACATGTTGTCAAAGTGTTGGGCCAAATTGACCAGTACCTGTCGGAAAGAACGAGAATCGTCATAGATAAGCTATCGAGGACTTTTATGGACTGATTATGCTGTTTTGTAATTGTAAATAGTAATTATAATTAAATGTATATCTTAGAGGTCTTTTCCTTTTTCACTTTAGAAAGATTAGAATAAGAAACTTTTCTGGATGGTGATCCTATAATATCTATTCCAATTGTGATGCCTAATTACCTATTTCGGCGGTATGAAAATTAATATAAAACTTAACTCGTCGTAATGGTAAATAAAAAAAATGATAACAACATATTATTGAAAAACGGTCATTTAATAAATTTTTTCAAAATATTAAAATATGTGCATATTTTATGTAACATGTTACAATTCAGTCGCACTTGTCATAAAAGTATCGGCATTAAGCAAATATGTCTCACAAATGTTCCGGTCTTCATAGGCTTTTAGCAGTTCATTATCCAAGTGTCTATTGATAATTGCAGCGCAACTCAAATCATTAGCTGCGTAGGAGAGGGGAGCAGCCAATTTGTATTCTACTACTGGTTGAAGTGAATAATCTTGCAAAGAATCAGTCACGTCTTCAGGCAGATCTAATTCAGCGCGCATCAACACTAGCAGCGAACGCAGTTTCTTAGGTTCGTTAGAATACTTCTTGACTTGAACAATCCTTGAATGCGCAGCTTTTATTAATTCTCTAGTGTACTGAGCGGAATAGGTAACTCTTCCAATTTGGTCTCTAACGCAGCATTCAATTCTCTCGTGCCAGGTGGTTGCCCTCTTGAAGGATTCGTCCAGTGACCAGGTATCTTGTCCTGACATAAGTTTTACCATGTGTCTCCCTACTGCTTCTTGCAGTGATACATCATCAGCCATATCCGTAAGTTTTGAATGGAAATGCGCCTGAATTTCTTTAGGAGTCCCGCCCAGACAATACACTGTGCCCGTGAGACCTGTATAGGTATTAAAAAGTATACACATTAATAGAAAATCATAATTGCAAGTAGAAACTTGATAAAAATATGAAGCAAATCTGTACCTTTATCTTCTAGAATTGCGGCTATTTCTAGAGCTACGATGACGCCTGATTCATATCCAAGAAGATAAAAGTTATTCTTTAATCCCGTCCGGATCAAGAGAATCTGTAAGTAGACAGACACCAGATAGACATTTTAGTAAAATAGTAGGTTTTTAGGTTCCTAGTATTTGATTTTGAATTGTTATTAACTTGACTGGTTCTTACCTCCGCAAAGCGGCTTGCCAATTCTTTCAATGAGCTATCGTGCCCTGTTTTGGGTTGAAGTACCAACGCGGGCAGCTTCAATCGTTCACACATTAATTGGAATCGCTTATGATGACCTTCTGCTCCAGGAATTATACACAAGAACGCTTGATCTGCGTCGAATTCGTCGTCACGCTACGAAAAATATTAATGAACGAGAATCATTATTATTTTTTGAAATCTTCAATCGTTTTCGCAGTGAATTCAGCCCCCCCCCCCTTTTTTTCACATTTCCCACTGTTTCTTGGCCCTTATTAGTCGCATCGTGATGTTTTAAAGCCGAAACTGCTCTAACCAACACAAATATAATTATTTAATTCGACACCGGTCGAATTAAGTAATTATATTCCTGAGATTAGCGCATGCAAACAAACAAACTCTTCAGCTTTATATATAAGTATAGAGATCAGGATAAATTTACATTACCATCGAAGAACTGTTAGTAAGTGTGGACAAAAACGTCATCTCCGTGGAAGCCAAGAGCTCATCAGAATCGATGTAAGAATAAAATGCTGCAAGACCTGGTGGGTCATTAAATTCTAATTCTGTTATTTTAATTCCTTCTTCTTTAATTCTGTAATAAAATAAAACAACAGATAATTATTATTAAAAGTGTGCTTAATGAATATGTACGTAGTCACTAATAGATGTGTTTTCTTTTATGTTGGACATGGGGCAGATATATGACTGTGTCTGGTTCGGTTTTACATTTGCAGACAAAAATTATTAGATTTCTTTAGTCTGCCCGGCTCAAGTTATGAATTGTTTATCCCGGGGATCAATCTTAGGATCTCTCGCGTTAATTCTAAGCAGTGTTTTAACCATTCCACCTTCTTAATGTCCAGTAAATAGTAGTGTAGTGTCTGGGGTTGTATTTCTTTTTCATTCTTTACCTTTGTACAGTTAGATTCTGAATTTCAGCTTCCGTTAACCATAGATTATAATAATCCCTCAGGCATGCTTGCAACGTAAGTGTCTTTGACAGATTCATACCCAACTCTAATAGAGTAAGATGTTCGTTAATTGTTGTCGGTAGAGATATATCTGAAAAATTAATGAGAATGATTAAAATGTGTTTTGTACTTACTATAAGATTGAAAATCACTGGGGACGAGACGACGCGTTCAAAACAACGATAGCGGCAAAATCCAACGACACAGTCAAAAAGTATGTCTTACTTACGATTTATTAAATATTTACAGCTATTATATATGATTATGCAATATGCTTTATAAAAACTAACCTGCCCAGGTGCAAATATCTTTCATAAAATCAATCTTTTTAGGGGAAGGAACAGCCAAAGCCACTGTTTCTTTCAAAAGTAGGGCCTCTTCTATAGCTTCTATCGCAGAATTTAAAGACATTTGAGCTACAACGTTTTCATTCTAAAATAGTAAAAAGTAATATTTATTGCATTTTTCACATAATCCAAATATATTTAAGTTACACCCGTAATAGGCGCGAGCGCTACACATAAAATAAAAGTCACCTCTTGTAAAGAGTTGAGCAAATTGTATGACAGTAAACAGGCATGGTCGTTGGGGAATGATACAATTTATTGAAAACTGGCTGACGTGGCACACGTTCTTTTACCATATGTAACATTGTGACCATAATTTACTTACCATAAAAACGGTTCTTGTGAGTTTATCTTAAAAGACATATATTGTCGCAGACATTTTTATAGATTATTTAAAGAAAATTAATTGTTTGTAACATATTTTTTGGGTATCTATGGTATTTGGGTTCTTTGTTTACGCAGCGCACGCAACGAAAATGTACCCCGTCTTCTCCACATTTTCATCTGTTTCTTTGCATCTATCGATCGCCGCCTGATGTTTTATATATACCTTGATAAATATACCAACTAACACAAAAATATTTTTTTCAACTTGAACCAGTTTTCCTTAATAATAGCGTCTTCGAACAAACAAACTCTACAGGTTTATAATATAAGTAAAGATTTGCGTTTCATCTAGTCTAAAGTAAATATTTCATTTATTGGACCGTTGTATATTATAAACTAATGTCAGTTAGCATTCTATGTAGCAAAACGGCTTGTCTTTTATGAAAGAATGTGTTCGTGTGTGGATAATGATTATAAGTTTTGTATAAACGTAAAAATTACGGTTCTCAATGCTGGAAGCTTAACAAGTGTAGCGGCATGACGACAATTCCTTCTCTTTATCGCAACCTGTTCACCAATTTCACTGTTCTCATTGATGATGGCAAAGAATCTATAACAAAAATATATATTTGATTAATTTTTATAATACAGAAGGACATACCAGGCTTAATGAAATGTAAAATACCCCAGCCATGTAACATTTAAACAAGATGGGCCGACTACATAATTATATTGGTATTGTTGGCCATGATGGATTTTATAAATAATATTTTAGAAAGATTTCAAACTACAAATGGCCCGGTACGCTGTTAGGTACGGTTTCTACACTCTGTCATATTACTCAATCCTCTTTAAGCTGTAGTTTAATTTATTAAATACATAGAAATCAAAAGAAATTAAACTATACATTTATGATTTGGCAATAGTAGTTGGAATAGTATACTATTGCGAAAACCGGGGAATAGCTAATGTTCTCAATAAAGATCGATTCTTTATTGATTTCTTTATTCTTTTCTCTATTCGAGATTTTACTGCATGTGCATATAATGTCTAGTGTATTGTTATTCAGAGTATGTTTATTACTAGCTGACCTTACAAACATTATTTGCAACATAATCGTAATAATTAATCATAAAAGGTCATCATCTACTATCGAGGACATTTTTTAGATTATTTCATGAAGAATATTTATCTGCGCACGCAACGACAACTCTCAAAGTTGCATATTTCCCCCCGGTTTTACATTTTCCTCTATTTTTTTGCTTTGGCGCAGCCTGATGATCTAAAGCTTTCCTTGATATAAGCTCCAACCAATACAAGAATAAATCTTCCAAATCGAACCAGCAGTTCCTGAGATTGGCTTTATAATATTAGTATAGATTTGTTATACCTTAATAGTGGACATATTTCTCTAGTTTTCAGATCAAGATCCTCCAAAAACTCGTGTATTTTACTAAACATTCTGTCGTTTGTAATTATTGTATAGATTCCCTCTATTTCATGTTTATTGACGCTGTTCAATATTTTCGAAACATTGTCTTTGTTCCAAATATTCCGTAGTACGGTTTGGTGGAAGTGGACGCCAACATTTTGCCATTTACTGAAAAGAAGGGGTTTGATTTAGTGAAGTTTAGGATTAAACAAATAAGAAATTATTAATGTACTCACCTTATTTTATATAGCAAAAGACCCGATTGTTCGGACGTAATAAGATGCACTTTCCGAACTCCTTGGTCAATTAATCTATCAATAACTTCAGCCACCAAAACATCGTCGTCCGATATTAAAATGTGATAGTTTTCCGGTGAATAAGTTATCCTGAAAATTTTACACATTTATAATAAATATTGTCTGTATATATGCGAGTAGTACACATTTAAATTAAACACTTGTACGGTTTAAAACGCGATAGGTATACATTAGACTTATACTTATACTTAAACTAATCCCTTCCCGTGACTACGGCTTCTGCAAAGCATTTGAAACGTCGGCCCGTAGTTAAAATAAATACTATATATCGTGTTTTAAACCGTTAAAGTATTTTATTTAATACAATTTTATACCTTTGTATATTGTGAGAACCTTTTTTTTTGGTACATATTTGCTATTGCGATTTTTTTCTATCAGGGGTTCTAAAGGGAACATACCTTGTCCGTTTAATGGGTTTGTCTAGTTGCATGTTGATAAGGACTCGACCCCGATGTTGGCTCGCCGCAACTAGGCGAAAAGCTCTTGGTACGTTTTCGGGTGCATACACGATCCGAGTCAACGGACGGACATATCCATGGACTATGCCTTCGCTTACTTGTGCTTGCAGAAGCTACAAATACAAATATTTACCACCAAAACACTAACAATAGCTACAGCAGACGCAGAGCAGCCACGTTAAATCCTGTTTCCCCCCGTGGGGCATGGGGTGAAACTATTTGTTTGTCCATTTTACTGATCACTTTTATGACTAGCAAGTATTAGGTCAGATTTGTGTCTTGCCCGACCAAAATCTATTGTTTCCTCGGAATTTGAATACAGGACAGGAAATTGTTTCAGTCGGGCAGGGCACAGAAGTCAGATCAACTACTTGGCCGTTAAAAGAACGGATCCATAAAACGGACAGAAACATGTGTTCTCCCCATGTCCCACGAGGGGGTTATTTAGATTCAGATCTTCAGCTAGAGTCTGCATTACTTTATATAAAACTAAAACAACACAATGACACTCACCTTAAATATTTCGACGTTTTCCTCTCTAAATATTGACGAAAAATCGCAAATTTTATACGATCTGTCATCGGTCAAAGAGTTCATTCCGAAGTTGTAATCGTCGTGATTTTGGATTTGAGCCACGTCTACGACGATTCCTGAACTTCCACAACTTCTTAAACTGACCTAAAAAAAGATCACAGACAATTATCGCAACGACAAATCGTCTATCGAGCTCGTTATTCCAGTGTCAGCATTTTATGGTTAATAACTAAGGGGCTGTAGGGTTGTAAGTTATGATAGAGGAGAGGTGAGAAACCCCAGTCATATAACGTCTACACAAGATACGCTATCGACCTGTTTTGGCTTTGGATATTCAGAAATCCACAGACTGAAACCGAAACGCGATTAAACTTCACGGTTCTTTCATTTGTGGTCCGTGACCCGGTTGGATCTGGTGGGGATCAAACCAACGACCCGTTGATGATTGCTACCATTGGACCAACGAACCCGTCATAGGGTTCAGGTTTTAAACGACTTTCTGTAAGTTCAGTCTCTAAAGTTATTAGTCAATAAAACTGTTTCCGATAACTGTTACTTACATTCTTCAAGTCGCCTCTTACACAGCTAAGTACGATATCGCATCTCTTCCCCTTCGTCTGAGATAACACCATATCACCAAAAGTATTGTCTCTTGAATATCCAATATTTTGTTCTGAAAACATTGAAAATTTTGAGAATTAGACAATTTTTTTTTTAATAGAGGAGGATTATATTATTACATTACAATACAAGTATTCACTGGATGTTAAAAGAATGTGTGGTGGAATTATGGTTGCTATACATTGCTACCATTACACCCTAGAGCCCGTTAAATTACATTCAAATATAAATAACTTTTTTCTAAGCACCTTTTAGTTGGGGAAACAGTTTCCTTAGAAATTGTTTTTTCCTGATATCACTAACAGTGGCAAACACTTCACAGTTATATGCGAGGCATATTGAGATAGCCGCTTGGCCCAGAGCACCACTTCCACCGTGGATTAAAACACGTTTTCCGGGGAAGAACCTATTTTTCATTGACTGCGAACAACACGTATTAAAACTTGATCAATTTCTTTCACTTACATAGATAATTGAGCTACAGAGTCTTTATTATAGAGGTAAACGTTGAAAAAGCCTTAGAATTCAAATGTCATTTAATTAGGTTCAAAAAGTTCCATTAACAGAGAACCGGGACTTGATCGCAACTCTCAATATAAGAGGTTTCCCACTTAACCAGGTTTTGCTGTATGTATGTGCTTCAGAATGAACTCACCAAACAGTAAAAAGCTTGGCAGTAAGCGAGAGGTATTGTGGCTGCTTCTTCAAGTGTCCAATGGTCGGGAACTGGCCACAAGAGGTTTGGATTGGCTACCACCCTGCTGCTGACTGCACCTCCATTTATGAGGCCCATGACTTTAGTGCCACTGTTACAAAAAAAAAAAACAGTAAGAATATAATCTATATTAATATATTAAGCTGAAGAGTTTGTATGTTTGAACGCGGTACTCTCAGGAACCACTGGTGCCACCAAATTATTTTTGTGCTGTTTAGATCGAAGAAGGTTATAAGCTACAAAACATTGAGCTGCAAAATGGGGAACGTAGAGAAATCGGGAAAAATTAATAACCTTTGTAGGCATACTTTGCATACGCTGCGAAGACGGTTCAAGTTATCCAAAAAATATGTATGAAAGAATGATTCCTCTTTAAACGACCCAAAAATGTCCGTGAAGTAATATGTATATCTTTTAAGATTAACGGTCAGCTTTAATATATACAAATAAGAAGGAGGTTTGCAAATACAAATTCGGATGCTCCAAATTGTACGCAGCCAAAGTCGCTGACACAGCTAGTAAATAATAACATGTTCCTATATTCATGTTTATTTTTTTAATTACATAAAATATTCAATATAAACAAATACCTGTCCGTCACACCGCTGAAATCCATTCCATAGTAGTTTCCTAGTAAGTTTTTCGGAAATTTGATAACTCCAGAAGCTCGTTTGACATCAGACTCGTTAATTCCCGCGTAATGTACGTTTACATTAATACCAGATACTGGAGTTTTGGGTATCTTGACCCACTGTAAGGAATCCAGGTCTCCTATAACTGTAGTTTGCAATTTTGCATCTTGACTGTTTGTATGTTGTGTTTTCGTTGGTAAATAATAGTAACCGCCCCAAACTCCCTAAAAAAAAAAAAATTAAATCATGCAAGTTGGATGGCGTTAAGTAAAACATTCGTTAACAGTTTAAAACGCAAATTATAATTAAAATATGTTACAACCACGACCCGACGAAGTATAAACTGTAATATGTAATTTCCATATCGGACTTTAAAATTATCGAAACTTGATCTATTTTCTTGACTCGTAACTTGATATATTTCTCTTTTAATTATAACATTTGTTGTGTGTAATTACTTACATGATCCAAAACGCTGATAGCCAAATCATTCTTTGGTAAGTCTTCTATAACTTCACCTTCATCAAATTTATGATTGAGCATAACTAAATTGATTTTACGACCACTTTTCCTTAACTCTTTAACTACATCTACCAACTTTGGTATTGGTGGATGCGAAGCAAAGACCAGTAATCTTTGATGAATAGGTATACTCTCTAATGTTGAAATCATATGTAATAAATTGGATTGGTTAAGGACAGTAAAAGCACTTGTGCCACCCACGAATTTTTCTGCTTTCCATTTGAGTAATTCTATTTTTTTGTCTCCAATATTATGACTGCATATCAATGTATACGGCGTTTGCTTTTCTATTGTATTTTCTGGTCTAGTTTCTACATTGATTATAAATGTATTGTTAGACAATAACTCTGTAAACAGATTCGTAATCTGTAAATATAAAAAAAAACATTAGTTTAAAAATATTATTGACCCACTTCAATTCATTTATTTCTTTTAGAAGGGGGGATGTGCAATGTTTGGACTTACGGTGTTGCGCCACTTTGTAAGTTCGGAGTTGGTAAGTTTCATCAAATATCTATAAATTTTTAGTTAGTACTACCCGCAGTCTAACACGGTCTCACATAAAAGTTACTTAAAAAACTATGCAAACCTTTGTATTTGTTGACAAATTGTGAACAAATATGACATCAGCCGTCGTTGGCAAACCTCGCTTCACAATTTCATCCAGAGTTGTTGCATTATGCTTGAATTTAATCCCTGGTACATGGAGATTATCAACATCAAGATGTTTTGCAATTTCACCACAATTTTCTATTTCAATAGAATTAATGTCCCCTTTGTTAATATTTTCAGCAATTATTTGTAGGTAGACATGACCAGCAGATAACACCTAAAGACAACAATTATTATTAAAATAATACCGTATAAATTCCTATAATATTTATGAAATTGGTAAAACTTACATCGGTTTTTTCAAGCTTCAAATGCGGAACAAAAGCTAAGCTTTTGAGGATAGAGGTGTTATTCCTAATCAAAGGTAAATCACGGAAAGACAAACTCTCTATGAGAACTCCACCAGCCCTAAAATTTAGAGAGGAGTTAGTTGTCTCCATATCGAATCATGTTCAATATGAATGTATTAAAATAGTGAGTTGATTTTATTGGTATAAGTGTCTAACGATAATAGAAATAATAGCGAACGTGAGATAGGCCATACATACTAAACTAAGGCGATTATTAAACATTAAGCTAAGAAAATATCCTTGTGTGTTATCAAGAATAAAGCCTTGGAAATTTAAAACAAACATATCAAGACATCGATTTATAGCCTCATAAACTGTAATAGTTTTAATAAACTTCTAATCTTAATAAAGAATCTTACCGAGTACAATCGTAAATATCTATGATATCAGCAACAATGATATCGCTGGCAATTTTGCTGTGCTCATCAATGTCAACGATCAACTTTCTTATAGAATCGGGCTGAGAAACTGTAGTGTGTTGGCGTTTTAAAGTATTAAGTTGCAGTAAACCGTCAATAAATGTTACCCAATTGCCTTTCCAAGCTACTTCAGCTTGATTTAATGATATTTTTACCGACTGCAGACTCCGGAATTCGCCACTAAAATATGAATTGTTTGTTCATTTGTTGGTTTGTTTTATTCTGTTTTAAAGCAACTACGGACCATTTATTACTTTAGTAATTTGGAGTTATATATTTTTTTCTATGGAATTTGAGCCCGGAACTTTTTACATAATGTACACTACATCATGTAAAGAGTTCGGGGCAACGAAAAATTTAATAAAAACAAAATTTCCTTTAACCTAATCCTGGTTTACATTATATATTTTTGGACTCGTAAATAACACGGTATATTAAAAAGAGACTTTCACTTACCTATATTCATAATCACGTGAACAAAGTAATTTATAAACATCATTACTATTAAGAGATTTTTCATCACTGTTAGTAGTGTTTCGTGCATACATTCTCTCATTATCATTTTTTGGTATTGCTTTAACAAAACCCGTTGCTACTATTGTTTTTTCGTTATTGTAGAGCACCTGCGAAACAAAACAATATTTGAACAACAAATTGAGCAATGTTTTTGTATGTTGTGATTGTACAATTTGCTCACTTATGTTGTAACTACATTTGCAAAAAGCGGTTTCAAATCTATATAACATATGGCATTCTGTATCGTTAAAGAAAATATTATTCTAATAACCTTCTAAATGAAGGCACTTTATGAATAAGTACGACTTCGTCCGCTAAAAATATTTATTTTGGGCATCCAAATTCGTTTTTGCAAACCCCTTTATCTTTATAAACTTAGCTGTTACCCACGACGTCGGTCGCGGTCCTTTCCGTCGTTATTACAATATAGCGTCACGGGCTTTTTTTAGAGCATTAAAAGAGGAACCATTCTGTAATATATATTCTTTGGGTATCTTGAACCGTTTTTGCAACGTACGCCTCGGCTAAAATTATTCCTCATTATGGGTTAAATGAGGAATAATTTTCAATTTTTTTTTGATGGTTACATCGCGATGTTTTATAAGCCTAAAACCTTCTAACCAACATAGAATTTTTTTAACCTGAGATTAGAGCGTTTAAACAAACAAACAAACTCTTCAGCTATATATAAGTTACTTTAATATGGGTTCATTTAATAAAAAATATGCAAGAAAGAAGCCTGAACATTGTTATGTTCGGTTAAGTTGGTAAAAATTAAATACTGTCTGTGGTTTACGCGAGTAGAACACATGTAAATAAAACACTTTAACGGTTAAACTAATTCGGATATTATTTTAACTATTGCACAACATTTCGACCCCCGTGAACATGGTTTAATCAATATAAATCGCGATTTAAACCGTTATAATGTTGTATTTAAATTGGTAATATCTCTCTCTCTAATCTAGCTCTACCTCGAACTTTCCAGCACCACGTTGAAGAGACACGCTGAGCGTCAACTGCTGGGTATCATGTAGAATAGGTTGAGCTAAAAATCTAACTGATTCAAACTGGACAGATAGACTTTTTTTCTTCAAGCCCAAACTCATAGCTAAGGTATCCCAGACCGCGACTAAAACAGCTGAGAAAGGGTACATCTTCTTTTCTGAAACAGGTAAAGTTTAAGTTTTGGTACTGCATCATCTGGTACTTAAATTCTTAAGTTAAGCTTTCTTTCCAATTTTAACTATTATATTGAAAATAAGTTAAATATTTAATTTGTCTTAAGGCCTTACAATGATATTATCTTCTTAGCCAATACCAAAGCATTTGAAATAGATAGACAGATGATAGATACTCTTACCTCGTATAACATGTCCTCTCAGGTAACTGTGCTCATCGTCGTGAAGAGATATAACGTACTTGCAAGCTGCCGCGGTTTTTCTATGAGCTGATACATAAAGAGGCAAATTCCTAGAAAAAAATTCCTTCCCGATAAACGTGTCACCATTCGTGTAACAGAACAGAATATGTTAATTTCCTTAAGACTCGACATGCCTCTAATTATAATTGGTGTTTAATTGCCTAAAGACTGTCTATAGTTTACGCGAGTAGTACACATTTAATAAAACAATTTAACGGTTTAAAACGCGATATATTGTTAAACTTTTGAAAATGATTTTAACTTCGCCCTCTTCTTTTAAGTCTTCCCGTGACCACGGCTGGTGCAAAGCATCCGAAACGTCGGGCCGTAGTTAAAAATCATTTTCAAATAAGTTTAACTGATATATCGCGTTTTAAACCGTTAAAGTGTTTTATTTAAATGTTTAATTGCCTGCCTACACCAGTATTGTTCTGTGTAATTATACAATTGAATTCCAATGAAAACAAAAGATAGTAATTCTAATTATCAATTAACAATCAGTGTCAAAGGGCCATTTTGTAATTCGCAAACATTTTATTCCTAATTTCACGATTATAGGCATGTATCTGTATATAACTATGTGATTTTAGTATTACGATTTCATGTAACCTGTTTGAATTGCCTGTTTATATTCTTTAATTGATGATGTAATTGTAGACTCACCATTTCTCCATGTGCGCCCATTCTATCAAATGCCCCAGCATTGGTGTTCCAGTCGAAACAGGAAACTCTACTTTTGGATAGAGTTCTTGCACCTTAGGACAGTATCCGTTCATGAACAATCTAGAAAATAAATACAGACCTTAAAAATGTTAGACAACGTCGACTAGTGTAATGTTTAATAGGTACTTAGGTAGTTAAGCGCTTCCGTTGGTCAATACATAAGTCATAACTCCTTGCGCCTACGCTCCTACGCTAGTGATCCTGAATTAAAATCCCGGGGAAACGACGCAATATAATTCGTTGTAGAGATACGACTAATGTTTTTGACGTAAGCACGACATAGGAGAAACAGGCTTACACTATTTTTAATTGCTTACTTTCCGATTGCATCTAAGACCATCACCACGTTGTCTTGGTGGCCACGTCGTGTTAAGGGAATATTCACGCAATGTGGTAAGGATCGTTTTAAAATTGCCTGCAGGAGACCGTGGGGAGCTATTTCAACCAGAACTGCGTCTTTCGGTATGTGCTTAGATGTTTCTTCAAACAGTACGGGACACTGTGAATTATAAAGAAAGTTAAGATTGTTTCAAATTATATTTTACAAACAGACTTATCGACTAAAAATGCGATTGATATTTACAAGCAAGTTATTAGTATGATATTCTGCAGAGGAGAACTTTGCGAGTGGCTGTGCCCATCGATCTTCAGGTATTGAGGTGGACACCCACCGTTCAGTACGAGCTCTTGGTGTTTTTATGACTTCTTTCAAGTACTTCAGAAGATTAGGCCCTGAAACGAAAACACACGTATACATAATTCAGTCTGTGTGAAGTGTTACGCCTAGTGCAGGTTTGATTAAGCTTACCTGCTTCAGCAATGTATCGTGAGTGATATGCAATATTCGAGCAGGGTACTTCCTTGGCGAAAATACCCTTCGCAGTCAGAGTTTCTACAAACTGCCTCATGATATCTGCTGGCCCAGATATCGTGCTGGATTCCGAACTGTTGTGGCAAGCTACTTCAATTTCGGGGGGACACAATTTGATAACCTAAAAACAAAAGACACACATAGTCTTCTATGGAACTAAAATTTAAAAACAGTCTCGTTGGTCGGGCGCCATGTTGGATATTGAGAATTTTCTTTGTACGATGTTAATCTGTTGGTCCCGGCTATCGCAACACTCAAAGGAAGCCATCTAAAAGTATTCCATTATATTTTTTGTTATTCTTCTCTCTTTACCTGTTGATATCCTATGCCTACAGCAGCCATAGATCCTCGGATGAAAGATGATTGTACTGATACAAGACCTCGGCTGTAAGCGGATAAGATCATTTCTTCCGCAGTGAGACAACCGTCCGCATATGCACATCCAAGTTCGCCGACACTGTGCCCTGCATATGTAAAATATTTACTTAATAAGTAGTAACTTATAAATATTATATAATATTCTATATATTAAGCAAGACAGAACACAGAACACTTATTTTGAAACTAAGCACGTTAAATGGCTTTAAGCACTTGCCTCGAGGAAATACAAAGATACGTAACTGACCTTAAATATATCATTATAAACTAGGGAAAAGAAAAATGTTGACAAATATATGTTGTATAATGTAATTTTTTAGTCAATTGCAAAATACTTCGATTTGTATGTATAGTACGTTAAAGCCTACCAATAATTTTATCTGGAACAATTCCTATAGTCTGCAACACATCAGTCAATCCGATCTGAACGGCCGCTATGCCGACAAAAGAATTGAGGATGTTATCGAAAATCTTTTTATCTGGAGCAGTAATTATGTGGACTATATCTATTCCTTTAGGCTCTAGAACTCTTCGACAGCTGAAATGTTAAGTAAAATTTATAAATAAACTATATTAAATAACGTAATTTAACAGGCTGATATTATACAGCTTTCGTTCATTTGACGCGCTCGAATTCTCGAATCTCGATAACGGTACAAGAAACCAAAAAAATAATGTGTGAAAGAATGATTCTACTTTAAATGATCTAAAAATATATCCGTATGACCGTATACGTCTATCGTTTAAGATTAACTCGCCAGAACGGCGGACGCGGAGGGCGTCGTGGGTAACAGATATACTTTTGAAAAGGTTACTTGCAATAAACAATTATGATGGCCGCGACATCGTCCGCATGGAATAGTTATGCGGACGAATGCGCGGGCATCGCTAATACTTTAAATAAAAAAATACCGTTCAATGGCTGCAGCAAATATTGGTATGCGCATGAGTTGCGCTCCCATTCCAGCCCACTGTGAACCCATACCACTGTACACAAACCACAACGGACGCTTCAAATCATCAAAGAAATCTGTCTTTTCACTCAGAACAACAGTTTCCTTCTCATTGTTTGTATCTAGAAAAACAATAATTTGCTGTGTACTGAAATACTAAATGAAAATTGTAAAGAAATGAATATTTTATTCCTTCAACATAAATACTTATTGTTATTTTGTATGTTCCTTCTTTGTTACGAAAATCATTAAAGAATGTACCATCTACGTTCTACACTAATAAATGAATTGAACAAATAGCAGATTATCCAACTACCTAGCAAAATATAGCCTCTTCCTAAATGTCCACTAATTTTCGCTTGATGAATGTTATGGAACAGAGCCAACTCTTCTGGATCGATTGGTCGTGTTTTAAGGTCGTCGAATATCTTTTCAACAGCAGATTTTTGTCTCCCCGAGATCGTTAAAAGGTGAGGGATGTTTGTCTTAAAGCGGTTTATATCCTAAAAAGAAATCACTACGTCAATAAAGGAAAAGTCGTCTTTTAAACGCTTTTATTTAGCTTGACCCGTACGGAATTTATTTATTTGGGTCAAAATTAGAAATTGAAATTAAGCCCTCCCCGTTGTCAGATTAATCTGAAATTTTGTACACACATTTAATTTAGATGACAATATAATAAAATCAATAACAATATAAATCTAAGATGGTCGCCGATACAAAATGGCGGATTCCATATTTTTCCTTAACCCCCCTCAATATGGGTATCAAATGAAAGGTTACACTAATAAAACACGATGATTATGTCAAAATTTAACTATATAATTTTTCGTAGTTTTCAATGCACAAAAAAGTTACCAAACTGTTTAATTTAAAAAAAACTTTTTTCCAAATATCTCGATTTTTATTTACGTCCGTATTAATTTATTTCACTGATGGATTTTCTTTATATACCTACTAGTAATTTTATATTCTGGCATTCTTATTTTTTAATAAAGGAGGATGTTTAACGCATTGCTATGCAACACATCATTCATTAGCCATTAATATTTATCATAAAATATCGATTGAAGCTTGAAAAGAAATATTTCTTCTGCACAGGATTAAAGTTACTTGCCTTAGGTTTATTGAGTCCTTTTAACAGAATGTGAGAATTAACACCGGTCACAGATAGTCCATTCACTGCAATGTAACCTTGCTTAAGTGGTTTATGATCAATAACGATCTGCATCTTGCCTTTTCGTATAGCGTCAATATCTTCTATGGGATCATCACAATTAAGGTTTGCCGCTATTTCACCATTCTCGTAACCAAGAAGAACCTGATTAAAATAAAATATATTTGTGTAAATATTAAAATACATTTATGCTCTTATCTAGTTCTTAGACTACTCAATTTAAATATGAAAGAGTTAAACATTTAAATAATTATTTAAATATTGACAAACGTAATACAGTTCGTATACCTAAATTTACAAAGCATTAAAATGTTTTTTCGTATAAAAATAAAGGTTAGCGTATTTTTAAAAATAATTTAAGGAATTTTATGTCGATTTATAAATCTAATAAATATTTTATTTCTAAGTAATTTAACTTACTTTAGTTACAGCAGATATCCCAGAAGCTGCTTCTACATAGCCCAAGTTTGACATCACACTCCCAACCAATAAAGGATCGTCCCTATTATTGCAGAAGACTTTATCCAGTGATTCTAACTCCGCTTTGTCGACATCGGGCATTGCTAAAATAAAAAAGATTAAAAAAACATTAGTAGATATTTATACTAATATATATAGCTGAAGAGTTTGTTTGTGTGAACGCGCTAATCTCAAAAACTACTCGTGGGAATAAAAAAAATATTTGTGTAGAGCATCTATCGAGGAAGGTTATAGGTTATAAAACATCGCACTGCGACTAATAGGAGCGAAGAAACAACAGGAAATGTGGAGAAAACGAGGAAAATTATTCGTGTTTAGTTTAGTGGGTTTCCGTTACATACGCTGCGAAAGCGGTTTAATATGCCCCAAAAATATGTATGACAGAATGATTCCTTTTTATATGATCTAAAAGATGTCCATAGCACTATATTTTAAGATAAACTTTCAAGAACGACGGGAATCTATAAAAATAAATTTTCATGCCCAAAATAATTTTTCTACGCGGACGAATTCGTCAACACAGCTAGTTATGTTTAAAGGTTTAGACTTACCACAACCAAGAGCTTCAACATATTCGATGGATTGCGGTGGAACATTTGCTTCTTCATAGAATTTTTTCAAGAATTCGGCCAAAGAACTGGGTTCCCGATAGAAGCTGTATAGTGGCCCGTCTTTGCCTTCTGTCAAGCCACAAAATTCGGACTTCACGTACACGACTTCAGCGTAAACCCTTTTTGATGAAAAACGTTTTGAATAAGCCATAACACATAATCACAGAAAAGATATTATTGGTATTGTATATTTTTGTCTGCAAACAATTTAATCACTTACCTTACAGCATCCGTTGCTTTTTGCAAAAACAGCACGTTAATAGCTTCTGACTTAGCGCAGCCATGAGAGTTTTTATCAAAGGATTTTGTTATACCATCCTTACTCAATTTCATGATTCTGTAAGAACGTATATTATTATTAATAATAATAATAATAGAGCTCATTGTAATGGGAACAATTGAGGCTGCTAGAGGCAGAGTGGCCTAATAACATAAACATGATTTATTTAGGAGGAAAATACAAATGCCCAATTAACTTAGACGAAAATGAATTTGTATTATTATTTGTGTAAGAATTATATTAACAATTTTCGGTCACTATGTAGATAAACATTTTTTTACTATAAAAATATAGAGAAGTCATAAAATTGCAGTTAGGCTATTCTGCCTCTAGCGGCTTCAACTGGTACCTAATCTTCAGACATTACCTTCCATAATGTACAGTCGACTGTGGGTGTAAACACAGATTTGTGCCTCCAACTATGGCGGAATCTATTTCACCGCGACGTATAGCTTGATAGGCAAGTTCGAGAGCTACATTTGAACTGCAACAGGCCTGGTCCACAGACATAGATGGGCCCTTTGCGTTTAGCCAGTACGATATACGATTGGCGAACATACTCTTACTGCATCTGTAGGGAATAAGCATGAAAAATAAAATAAAAATAACAACGTCTTCGCTACTGTTTCATTTGTTTATGTTAAGTTACGCTTTAACTCTTTTTCATTAGTTTAGCCAGTGCTATTACTTTCCAATGTTGTGGCTTCAACAAGCTTAAGAATTCACAATATATCAGTTCCTTATATACGAGTACAGGCTATCACCTCGTCTGGAACGTGTTTCGTGATAAAACTTTGCTGGCAAGTATTTGTTCATTAATTGAATGAAATTTAAATATACTGAAATAATCTGTCCAAATCAAGAAACAGTTCTATGCCATAAATCTAAACGAAGACTAAGCTTTCTTATAAATTTTTTTGTATGATATAGGAGGACAGACAAGCAAGACCACAGCCATATAACATCTGGGTAAGATGCAGTGTCGCTCTATTTTAGCTTTGGATATTTGAAAATCCACAAACTGTAACCAAAACTTGACGGCTTTTTCATCTGTGGTGCGTGACTCTCACGGAATTTCGTTATTCCTAGTTCCTGCCACCCAGTTAATATCAAGATTTTAAGACGTTCAACGTGCAATAAAATACTCAAACAGAATTAAAGAACACGTCGCGGATATAAAACATAAACGTCTCTCCAAATCTGCGGTATGCCAACACTCATCGGAAGGGCCCAATCATTACATTCCCTTTGACCAGCCAAAGATCCTCGCAAAGGAGAGTCGATTTTTTCCAAGATTGGTACGCGAAGCAATTGAAATCAAAAAACACCGAAATTTCAATAGGGAGGACGGCCTCAAATTATCAATCCGAATCTGTAAGTACCCGGCCAGTTTCGCCAAATACCAACTTCGACGAAACAGATGGCGCTAGCGTGGCAATTTTTTATTTACTTTGACGTAAGAGACATCCTCGGGGGGGCTGCTGGAAAGCACCCAAAACGTCGGGGCGAAATTAAAAATACTTTTCAATAAGTTTAACCAATATATCGCGGTTTAAACCGTTAAAGTGTTTTATTTAAACATTCAACGTGTTTCGTAACAGAAACATGTAGGATCCGGTTGGGATCGAAGGCACGACCCGTTGACTGGCATACAATGCTACCATTACACCAACGAACCCATCCAAATGATACCATCCACTTGTGATGGCGACCTTCGTAAACCATTTCTCAATCACGACGGCCAAGCAGATCGAAATTAAAGCAGAGTATCTATTGATATTTAAATTTCTCTACATTGCAATATTGTCGAACAATTTTTGGTGCTATGAAAGTAAGACCTTTAACGCCGAGTGTTTCTAAAAATACTACCAATAATGACGCGTTTAACATACAAATAGATACATAGTTCTCGATTAAATGCACTACGGAATTATTTAACGTAATTATGTGCATATTATCAATTGTCAACGGGCAATAGTGGAATATTTTCATTGCTTACACTAGCAATGAAAATATTCCACTATACATTTTTAAAGAACTTACCCCGCAATACCAAAACCCGTTCTTGATGTGGCTACATAGAAGCAAGCTTTTTCAGTTTCCGAGAAACAGGTGCCTAGGTATACACCTACTTTAGTTCCGGAGAGCTGGTCGGGGTTTATACCTTTGAAAAACGTAGTATGAATATAGTTGGAAAAACAAAATTAATATACTAGAAAACTTTAATATTTTTCACATATTGTTATATAAATTGAAAATCAAAAATCGTCAAATCATCTTCTATGACTTTCTTAAGCTGCAAAGTATAAGACATTTTACCTTAATACCGTAGTGTTAAGGTAAAAATAACATTGCGCAAGAGTTGTATAATATATCAATAGGTAAAAAACTCGGCGATGACGTGTACGAGGACTCAGTAACTCAATTGGTTAGAGCACAGAACGCTGTGAATGCCGGATCAAGTCCTGCCCGTGTCGTAAATGTTTTTCAATTTTAAATTTGCCTTGCTTTTGTTACGTTTTACCTGCATCGTAAATAGCGTCGAACGCTTGCTCCAGTATCTTCCTGGACATCGAATCCATGGAGTTTCCAAGGCGGTAGTGCACCTTGAAGAATTGGGCATCGAAGTACTCGAGTTCGGGAAGTCTTCCCGTGCTCTCCGCCACTTCAGGATGTTTGTACTTCCAACGGGCGTTGTTCGGTTGTATGGGATTCACCTGACCGTAAAAATAATAAGACCAATTACACTATTTTGAGAAGAATAAAAAAAAACAAAGCTACTGAACTCATTTCCGACGAGTTAATTGGTGTAATAGCAATGGCTAATAATCAACGTGTCGATCCCCACAGGTCCAACATTGTCTGCCGTCCTCTATCATTCGAAAAAAAAACTCAAAAGTCTATTTGCAATAGATTTTTTATATGTATAAAACTATCATAATATGTAAAAATAATTGGACAACAAACGAACTTATATACTGTCTATTGTTTACGCGAGTAGTACACATTTAAATAAAACACTTAAACGGTTCAAAACGCCATATACTACTTAAATTTATTTGAAAAATGATTTTTAACTTCGGCCCGACGTTTCGGATGCTTTGCAGCACCCGTGGTTACGGGGGGACTTTGTCTCATCATTTTTACTAACTAATATATCGCGTTTTAAACCGTTTAAGTGTTTAATTTAAACGGACTTATATTTATTCACAACAAGTTAAGTATATAAATGTTATATGCTACTTTGAATATTACATTACTGACCTTGTTATAAAGAATATCCCGAAATTCTTTGACATTGTGCGACTGGGGATAAAGACCAGCCATTCCAGAAATTACGACTTTCTCCTGGGAGACTTCGTCGTCATCAAACGATGTTAGTTTCACTTGGGGGTTCGGTGCCATTTTTTAGCTATTAAATTCAAAGAAATACGTACTTTACTACGGTAAAAAATAAATATAAAACTAACGAACAATTAAAAATCACGTTTTAGTTCAATTTAACCACTTTCCCCCAGTTATTTATATAAAAATCAAATAACTACACTTTTAAACTATTTTTTTGCAACAAACATAATTTTATTGCCTTTGGGTAAACTAAAGGTTCCAATAACAAACACTTACGAAAAATATAATTGAAAAAAAAGAAATAAGTATTAATATAGTGAGAATTAGTTGAGTTCTTAAAAGTTCGTATGTATCTGCTCAAATTTTTTAAACAAATTATCCACTAACAAAAACACTACCTTTCTTTGGCCTCTTTAGGACTTTAGGATACGAACGAATGTTACTCTATGAACTTCTATTTGTCTAGTCACATTTATTTATATGTACTTTTATGCCGACGAATGTATGCAATTTGCATAGTCAATAGAATAGAAAAAAATAGATAGAGTTGGTCCGTTCGTTAATTGAAAGAAAGCGTAGTATTTTGTTACTGTAAATTTGGTAATATTAATATAATTTTGAATTATGTATTCTCCAAATTTTGAAATGATTAGTCTAGTCTACGGACATGTCATAAAGACTAATCTAAGTAATCTCAGTGATTTTATATAATTATATATAATCAGAAATCGGTTTAGATTGAAAAGACTACGACACGGGCGTGACTAGACCGGCATCCACAGCGTTCTGTGCTGCTTTAATTCGACATTGTAACTCAATTGCTTAGAGCGGACATTTTGTTTTGAGATTCATGTCATTTTTATGATAGAGCCTCCTCTATACAGACACTATACAGACGAACATGGGGCTCAATTATTGTAAATACCCGAGCCATATAACATCTTTCATCACTTTGCAGTATCCAAACTACTCAGTCATCTACCGACTGTAACCGAAACGCGATGAAACTTGACAGCTTTTTAATCTGAGGAAGTGGGTTCATAACCTGGACAGAATTCCACAATTCCTACCACTCATTTAACATCCAGATTTCCATAAGACGTCAACTATGTTTTAGAAAAAATATAAATTGTTTAGAAAATGCTGGACCCGGATTAACCCACGACCCGTGAACGTTGCTACCATTACACCAACTAGCCCATAGTCAGACAAACATATCCTGATAATATTGCTATAGCAGAGTCATTAACCGCTTTAGGTAAGGATTTGCTCTTTGACCAATAGTGAGTTTTAAATATGTAAAACCAAATTAAAAATCAGTGCAGGGTTTATGTTAATAAAACGCATTAATTAATTCTTTGCTTAGTATATTTTAAACTCCCAGGCTCTTGTATAGAAGTGGTACGTAGTCATCGAATTGTGCACGGTAGAAGTTACCAGCAACAGGGGCTCCTAAGTTATATTTCTCAGCGAACTTCTTTGTCGAAAATGCAGCTCGACCATCGATAGACCTAGAAAAAAGAAAATATTTAAATTTTGATCCGTTAAACGTATAGTAATTGATCCTGGAAGAATTGACAGTGAAAGAAAAAGAGCTGCTCAAACAATTAAGAATACAATAATAATCGCGCTTTGTTTGTTCGTCTACAATCCATTTTGTGTTGGCTAGAACATTTATCGAGGATAGCTTTAGGCTATTAAAAACTTTGCACTGTGGCCAATAGCAGCGAAGAAACAGCGGGAGATGTGGAAAAACGGGGAAATTTATTCATTTATGTCTTTAAAGTTTAAATTTATAATGATGAAGAGGAGGTTTGCAAAAACAAATTTGGATACTCAAAATAAGTATTCTAGGCAGACGAAGTCGCTGACACAGCTAATAGTTGCAATAAAATTAATAGCACCTAAAGTGAAGAAATTCGGTCTTCTCAAATCTTCTATAGACGCCGTAAGTTGTTAAATTTGTTGTCAGAACAAATCGTTTTAGTTACAAAGGAACACAGCGTTCGTGAAATGTTTGAAAAATGATTAAACAGAGCCTAAAAATAGCGCCATATAAAGAGCAAAATTATTTTTGTGGATAGTGCAGCAGATATTTTCTGTCTAGAAGTAGTAATAATTCATACAAATATAATTAAACAGATTTAAACATGTAACATAAACTATTTTTTAATATACCACTTATTTCTTTTGGTTTAGATAGCTTCACTTTCTAGAAAACATTACGAACTATTACATTATAACATTAGAAACTATTTCGGTTTTGGATATTCGGAAAACCACAGACTGATACGTCTAAAACCGAAATTAAACTTCACGGCTTTTTCATCTCTGGACGGTGATTAGCGACTCGGACGGAATTTCGATATCCCCCCGGTACCCCCATTTAATACCCTGGTTTCCAGACAAACACCAACACGCCTTAGAAAAATTATAAACTGAATTGAAACACGTTGGACTCGGTGGGAATCGAACCCACGTCGCGTTGATTTTTAACCATATCCCACCAAAAACCTATCATACCAAATAACCCATCGATGTATTTTTCTTTCCATAACATGTTACTTACTTATTAGTTAATCGTTTCTCGTCGAAGTTGAGTTTGCCGGGTTGCTTGTATAAGATGTAGACGTAGCGATGGATTCCTGTGCCATCTGGAGGACCAGAGCCGATGTAACCGGAGAGTACCTCTCCAGATGCAACATTGTTGCCGGGAATATTTCCTACCAGCCAGTGATGCCACTCACGGTAAACTGGTTCTGGACCGTCGTAGTTGTCTGGATCTGTTTGAAAACATAATGCAGTTAAGTATTTATCGGTTTTAAACGTGAAATATGTTAGTAGCTTAGTTTTTAAATAAAATATTAAAATATTCGTTAATTAAAATCTGTTTGTGTTTTATTATTATCGTTATTTATTATTAATTAAAACGCGGTATGTGTATAGTTAAACTTATTTGGAAATTATTTTAACTACGGCCAGACGTTTCGGATGCTTTGCAGCATCCGTGGTCACGGGGAGACTAAAGACGGAGGGTGTCTCTAATGTCAAAGTAAAAACTGCTACTCTAGCGCCTACTGTCGAGGTAGATACCTTTAGCTACTACACAGCATCAGAAACCTCGGGATAGTATAAATAAATTAAAAATAAGGTAAGTATATTTTGCGTTTTAAACCGTTTATTTATCTATGTTTTTGTTTTTGGCCTTGTTATTCTCAGCATCATTGTAGCATAATGGTTACGATTCGCGAAGGTCGCGGATTTTAGTACTGTAAAAACCTTATACTACGTTTCGATAATCTGGACCCTATAGTCCAGAAATCCGTTCAACGTTTGCCTAATAAAATCAATCAGTTGAAACGACATATGTCTGTTTCAATGCTCCGATGACTAATCGATCCGAAAAAAAATTAAAGAATCCACCTCCACACAACTATCTAAGTGTTATTAAAAAAACCTTTGTACCAGTGAAAACCAGGGTGTAGTACGCATTTGGTTCGGCTTCGAAGGTAACAGAAGGCTGATCTTTGACCTGGGTAGGAGTCAGTTCATTGCCCTGCTGTGCCACAACTCCACTGGGATACTTCAACTGGAATGGTCAAAGAATATAACATAATATTAAATAGTAAAAATTCTATTAACAAGGTGTCATGTGAAACGGCTCGTGGACGTTTGACGGGCTAGTTGGTGTAGTAGTCAAGGGGCCGAGTGTTCGATCCCACCGGGTCCATAATTTTTTCCAAGTAATTTATAGTCTGGAATCGTCGTCTGGAAATCTAGATATTAAATTGGTGCTAGGAATATGAAAATTCCGCCCGGGTTATCTATCGTCCACAGATAAAAAGGCCGTGAAGTTTAATCACGTTTAGATTTCAGTCTGTAGATTTTCGTATAGATGGTACAGCCTGGGAGATTTCACCTACCACCAAGAGAAACCTGCTGTCCTACTCTATCATTAAAAAAAAATTACAATTATGACTCGAACCTATAATCAATAATGTACCGAATCGGTTTGAATTTATAAATATGCAAGTATTAAACGTTGCATATTAGACGTTAAAATAGTGTTTTTTTGGTAAGTATTGTACTTACCAAAAAAAAAAATAACACTATTTTAACGTCTCTAAAACATACGAAAGATCTGGGTCGTAATTTAAAAAAATACTATATACTGCTCGTGTAAACTAAAGAGTTTTAGTTTTTATACATATAAAACAACATATTGTTTAAAAACATAATATTATGTATATGTACTGTAAATTGGATAATAATTGGACAAAACGTCTGAAACAAAAAAACTGGCTTAATGTTACATACATAACTGGGTCAACATTCAGTGGAACTAAGATAAATCATTTTAACATTTAACTATGTTATGTAATAAGTAAATTAGTTAAAAAATAAAAACAATACGTTTATTTACATCATATAATTATGACCTTGACTTATAATTATCGCGCATTCCTATAAGAACGATAAATGTGTTAATTTGTGATTAAATTGCTACTTTTACAATCTGCTTGAATCTAGATTATGTGGTCTGATATTTTCTATAAAAGTTATAAAACTATTTTTGTTATAAGCTCGTTCATTTCAACTTGCATTTAATTATCTTGTACTAAACAACACTATAGACGTTCCACTCCACTCCACTCCACTCCACTCTTTGTGCATTTAATGAAATTAGCTTTGACTTTATCTTAGCTTATTTTTATATTAATCAAAAGAGATAAGGCCTTAATTATGTCGGGATAAATACCTCAATAGTTTTAGAAGGCGGTGTGGGTATGACATCTGGAACAATTTTGCTCGACTCAAATGCGCTTGCGACGGACATTTCGGCTGCAAGTTTATTAAAAAATAATCAAATAAATTATATTCTTGGATTAATAGAATTAATAATTATTAAACACTCACCGACGTTAGTTCTTCACAATGTGCAACAAACGACTGCGAATACCTAAATTGTAAATCTACGTGAGTTTTCTGATAAGAGTATTGTTTTGATAATATTTCACCTCGATCGTGAACTAGAGGACCATAATTTTTGGTTTATATCGATAAGAGTTCAATTCTTCGGGATAAGGATGACTTCACCAAATTTTATTACAATTATGTAACGACCGCTTCCGTGGCTCAGTGGTTAGACGCGTTAAGTTAAATCCAAGACATCGTGAGTTCGAATTTAAGTTAAATACAATTAATAGTTCAGTAAGGGACACAGAAATGCGGTTCAAATGCGAGATTTAGTAGTTTTATTTTAGAATACGACCCGAAATTTTGAATTACCTACAATTGCGTATTGTAATTGATCGTGGTGACAAGGTCGATAAACTAATATATTTCACGTTTTGAGCTGTTTAAAAATAAGACTGGTTAGTCAGATTTCCGAGCTTCGTGCGAGACTATTAACTATACTTCAAAGGATTCTAACTTGGAATTATAATCACATAACTGATATCGAGACAAATATAAATAATAAATAAACCTCTACTTACCTATTGATGCGGCCTATTGTCTAATATCATAGATTTCATATTTAGGTATATATATATACAAGTTCATATTTGTTCAACAACCCTGGCTGAAGGATTTCTGGTAAGTGATAATTAAATCAATCAAAAGATCAAGGAAGTACTAACAAGTCCATTGCTTCAGTAAATTCAAGCACATAAATATTTGTTGAAAAATGTTTCACGCTGGTCTAATTGTAGCAATAAGTTGCTAATAATCAACGGGCCCTGAACCTCCGTCTCGAAATCTGTCGTCCGTAAAATGTAATCGCGTTTCGGCTTCAGTCTGTAGATTTCCGAATGTGCGAAGTCCAAATACGTTAACAACATTTTGTTTAGATATTGACGAAGTGATGAAACGCCATGCTTGTTTGTCCTCCTTTGCCAAAAAAGCCTCCGTGCTCTACTTTTGTAAATCCCGGTATTAGAATCCAGGACTTCCCGAATTTATTGCAACTAATCTACAGACGCCGATGGTAGATCAAAGATCTCACATTTCAGAATTCGGGAGAGGCAAGTAAAATAATACTTCTTCAACAATTTGCTTTTAATTTCATAAAATAACTAAGAAGACAACAAACATTTTATATATTAAATGACGATTTTCAAATACAATTAAGTGAAGATAACTTTTATATATTACATAAGTGCATCTATCTAATATTTTACAATAAGTATCTATTTATACATAGAGAATAAACAATAATTATATAATTGTTTTATAAGCGTTACATTTAACAGCAGCTTAGGTTTAAAAATACAATTAGGAAAACAAAAAATCGATAAGAATGCGCGCTACGACGAAACCAAAAAGAGATAGCAAAAATGGTTTCAAGTTTACACATGAAGCCTTTTTCCCAAAGTAAGTAATGATAATTCACCTTTAATAATAGATTTTATTGTAAAACCATTATAACGAAATTTAATCGTTTATAAAAAACTGTTGTATGCAACTACAAATGTGTTTGTAAAATTAAAAACCAGAGAAATAATTATAGCTATAAGTTGTGTCATAAATACAGCCAGTAAGTACTCAGACTACTGATTATAATAATTATTCATATAGAATAAATAAATAACAATATTTCAGAATTATTCTGAAATGGACCGACAGCAATCTCTGTCACAAAGATTGGCGGCATTTCATACTTTCGTTAAACGCTAGATTGGCAGTGCATGGAATGTCTAACTTCAATGTATGTTACTATATTAAATATGCAATATGATGGTTCTGACATTATTTCAATTAAAATATCTTCGTGGTGTTTGGCGGTTCCTTAATTTAAAACGGTGAATGAATTGCGTTCATCTTAATCTCTATGAAGCCAGGTGAATCTTTTTATTCAAAATGTGTAAAATTTAAATTCATTCTTCTAATTAATCTTACAATTACCTATATATTATCATACTAAACAACTTGAACAGTAGCAAAAGCACTGAAAGTGACTTTCTTTGGTGGTTCAGCACTGCAAGTTCTTACGACTGATCTTTTCCCTGCATCATGCCCGTTCGTTTTCAACACTGGCTTCAGGTGAGCTACATCGTGCGACTGTTTAAATCTACCAATTGTATTACCAGCACCTAAATCCCTTAACTTATTTGTAAGCCCAGTTATCTTGTTGGATATGTTGGAATAGTTTTTCTTTATTTCACTCTGCTTTTTTGGTTCACTCAGCTTTTTCGGGATCTCCAAATTTTGTAGGGATGTATACATTCTATGATCTGTTGATAGATTCCTTTTTATATCCGGGTTCGGACGCGGCAGTCTCGGCGCTCTGGGTAGATAATTATTTGGTCGGAAAGGAATTGGCGTCAGTTTCGTCATATTCTCGCTAGTGAGACGATAATACTGTGGTACTGTTTCAACTCTTTGTGGTTTCCTAAGAGTTAGTGCCATTGCTGTTTTTTTGGGACGAGCGAGACTGTCAAATGCAGTTGTGGAGAACTGGGAACGGCTGCTCCTCCATTCTTCGCAATCTGAATCGTAGCCGGTACTTACTGAAATTGAAAATGGAATTCTAATTAGAATTATTTAACAATTATTAAATCTTGAAACTTTATTTATTATAACGGAATTTACTTAACACTACACAGTAAGACAGTAGAGGTTTGTTTTTATAGTATGTAAATACATATAAATCTTTACCTATATATTAACCTGAAGATTTTGTTTGTTGTCCGAGGCATACGATTTAGTACGCGTGCAGTGCGTACGCATAGGTATGAAAGAATGATGTCTCTTTAACTGATCGAAAAAAAGGTCCGCGACGCTATATGTCTATCTCTTAAGATGAACTTGCAAAAACGACGGGACGCGACCGACGTCGTGGGTAATAGCTTAAATTTATGAAGATGAAAAGGAGGTTTGCAAAAACAAATTTGGATCCCCAATATTACTATTCTACGCGGACGAAGTCGCTGACACAGCTAGTCCTAAATAATGCCCGATCTGAGTGAACCATTTTTATGTTCTCTGGAATATCGACCTACCTACGTAGAGCACATATGAGTAAATGCTTTCAATAAAGAGTTATTGACATCTTAGACTATTTTATTCTGGGCACGTCAATTCGTTGGGCTTAACCGCATACAAAGCGTTATGTTACCCAAATATTACGTCAAGCTAACTGTATGATGCAAGGGTTTGACAATGTTTAGATGTAATTTGGGTAAATACGTTATTTATAGGTTTTTTATTGCTATCCTCCTCATTCTTTGCGTGTGGCAACTTAAAGAATTTTAAACAATACCTTGCACCACCTAGAAGAACTATTGCCTAAAATAATTAAGCGAAGTTTGTCAGTCGAATTTCAAATCCCCGGGAAATATAAAATAGTAAATAAAATTAAGCAATGAGACATATACAGAGTCGTGTTTGCCACACGCTACACACAGGAAAAAATTGGCTTTGAAATTTTGAAATAAATAACCTACAATAATTAGTAGTTACAGGCCATTAGAGTTTTTAAAGTCGATAATCAGAAATATTAAGGCAATAAAATATGTAATCGACGTGCGGTTCTTTTAACATAAAAGGTTATCAGTGTATCAGACATCATCTTTGACCCCTGATATAAACATTCACGATTTTTAACAAACGTCTCAACATTCACTACGATCGGTGAAGACAAGACATTTTCGCAAGTGATTTAGAATAAATTGATTACATCGATGTACAAATTGCTAAAGGCCATCGATGAAAGCAAGGTAAGATCAATATCGATGCTGTCGTGCCTCGGGGGTCGTGTTTCGGACCGCGTTTGTTTATATAGCATCCTTAAAACGATGCACTGTAGAAGTTTAAAATTCTTACAACTATTGTCTAATTTGCTATTAAATGTAATGATATATTATCCAATAACATAATTAACTTATCTTTGGTGCGTACAACTATTATAAGTACAAATAATGGTTTATCTCTTGATTTTTAATCCTTTAAAAGCGATAGAAGGGAGATTTTTTATACGTACCTATACACGAAAAACAGTTAATCGTTACGACGTTTCTGCGGCGTGAAGCAGCCTTGGTCCGGGGGTCTCCTTGGCCTTATTTTAAAACTGTACAAGCAAAGCCAAGGCTAAAAACTAGTCTTTGATTTTTATATTAGAAACTGGGTAGTACTACGGAGCATGGTAAAGAATAAAACGTCACGATGTCGTTGGTCTAATGGGGGTAATAGGTCTAATAACAACGGATCATGGATTTTATTCCCACCTGGTCCGACTAGAGCAAACATAACAAATAGTGGGGTAACATATAGGACTATGTTGGAAATCTGAATTCGAATTTCTGTCCGAGTCACGAACCGCCGTCCGCAGATAGAAAGGCCATGAAGTTTGATCACGTTTCGGCTTCAGTCTGTGAACTTCCCAATATCGAAGTTGAAAATAGGTTGATCTTGTTAAGATGTAATATAGCTGGGGATGTAATTACCTTCCAATAAGCAAAGCGCATGCTTATCTTGGCTGTACCAAAAGCGAACGATTGGAATTTGTATTTTGACCTCCTAATCACAAATATCAAGTTTTATCATCTCTTCGGCAATCTGGGAAACTTGGTCGGCATGCAACCTCCAAGCTTTGACGAATTGGATGTTGGGTAAAAAATGGTTAACACACACAAACACATACTCACACCCTTTTGGGAAAAGCTCAAATAGTCTACATTGGTTAGAAATGCGTGATTAGGCGCACTGAGAAAAGAGGTTTTTTCGATTTTCATATTCAAATGGCGGAGACTATGGCGGATTTTTGATTTTCCCTTTCTTGCTGGACAGATCATAAAAAAAGAGTTATAGAGCTTTACATATTCTGATTTATTCATTTCAGTGTAAGGAAGTGAACTTTCATCACATGGCTACCTTCCACACTTCCTAGGTCATGGTTCATCGCTCATTTAGTCATGTGATTCGATTCAAGCGTGAAAGATTAAGTTCCCGCGCTACTCTATACACAAATGTCTTCCTGTAATAATACACTGAGCAAAAATGATGTGTTTCGTAATTTACATAGAGTTTACATAAGTACACATTCCATTGGATAAGGTAAACAACAAGTAGATACATAAATTAAAAATTGAAAAAATTTACGACTCGGCTCGGCTGTTGCTCTAACCAATACCAATTGAGCTACCGAGTTCTGAGTCGAGAGTAACAGCACGGAACGCTATGATGCAGGTTCAAGTCTTGCCTAAATCGATTTTTTTTTTCAATTTATAATCGAACACATAACATTTGAAAAATATTAAAGTTAATTTAAAAATCGAAAATAAATTGAAAATTTTTTCGACTCCGGAGAGGGGACTTGAACCGGCATCGACAGCGTTTCAAGCTGTTGCTCTTTTTTGACTCGGTACTAATTGGTAGAGCAACAGCACGGAACGCTGTGATGCCGGTTCAAGTCCTGCCGAATCGAAATTTTTTAAATTTAATTTTGAATTTTTAAATTATATAGTGCCCTCATGTGCAATAACATGTCTTATTTATTATTAAGAAGTTGAGTATTGTCTGTGGTTTACGCGAGTTGTTCATTTAAATTAAAACCCTTTTAAAGATGTAAAACGCGAAATATATAATTAATCAGTTGCAATTTGTATTTAAACACGGACCGGCGTCTATTAAGAAATTTCTAGAATTCCAAGAAAGACAGGCAAAAACTGATGTTTATGTATAAAAATATTATGACAATAAAATAACAACACAACGGAAAATGTCAGTAAACCAAGTGCCTACCTATAATCATTGATAATATCGAATAAAAAACTTGTAAGTGTTATCTGATAAATTAACCTTAAAATAAAATGCCTTTAAACTCTTTCAAAATGTTTAAGTTGCTTAAAGACGAAGTTAAACAACATGACTGTTACTATTATTTTTATTGAGATTCCGACCTAAGGATCAGGCGCTTTCTAAATAACAAGCAAGTGCTAAATGGTGGCAAAGGTGAAAAACGGGCGACTTTTCAATATTTTGTCTTTATTCGTCATGTGAACTAGTTTCAGTTTTAAGCACCGTTGTTTCAAGAAGTATAATGGAAGAAATATTGATTTCCACAGCTGAGCTTAGTTCTTCTTTTTCATCAGAAAGTTTATTAACTGGTGATGACTACTAAATTAGTGATACAACCACCGACAAACCAACTCTCAAAGCACTCGTGGGTGATGACAACATTTTTTATTGGAAGTTTTTAACTTTAATTTAAAAATCGAAAATAAATTGAAAGCATGTACGACTCGGGTAGGACTTGAACCGGCATCGTCAGCGTTTCGTACTGTTGCTCTACCAATTGAGCTACCGAGTCCTACACCTCATAGTCGAATTTTTTCAACTTATTCATACATGCACCTCTCGCGCAATGAAATTTCAACCTTTGCACTTGCGTATTAAGGTTCAACGTCTTACTAACGTTTGCAGCTAAAGAAATCATTTAAAATGAAGTTACAAAGTTATAACTTGAAAAAAATTCGACGTTGAGGTGTAGAACTCGGTAGCTCAATTTATAGAGCAACAGTAGGTACGGAACGCTGACGATGCTCATCAAGCCTGCCCGGGTCGAAAATTTGTTTAATTTATTTTCGATTTTTAAATTATATAGTGCCTTCATGTGCAATAACATGTAAAAAATAATTAAGTTTTCAAAAGTTTTTAAGTTTAATATTCGTAATAAGGCTCATCTCATTTCATTATAGTTGAACAAACTTCCGTGCCCCACCGATCCGATACTATTTTATCTCATTGCAGGATTCTAACCCAAAATCTCTCGTCTTTACCGTAGTTTATTGAGTTAAAGCTGTTATTCTTAAAGCGATATCTAAGATGGTCTAACGATTTGCGAAAGCAACAACTTCTAGGTTTGTGGTCGCCAGAACATAGTCGTAAAATTAATAGGCTTTTGTTAACAAATGAGATATGTACGTTTTACATACATTATAGGTTTGTTGCACAGTTGTACTTGTGTTATTTAAGAAAAATGTGGTTTGACCTCTAATTAATAGCAAAATAATATTTTTATTTAGACAGTTACATAGATAAGTTATAATAAAAATAAAATAAGATACTATTAAGAAACATATTAAACTATTTTCGTAGTCCTAGAAAAGCATTACGTATATTTACAAAATTTTTTGATGTAAAAACAAAAAGAACTTATTCGTAGCGTTCGTCTTTTATTGCAGAATGTTTCCTTTTTTTATAACTTTATTATTTAATTATTGCAAAATTTTCTAAATATTTTCCGTATTTAGCGAACAGAATAAAACACTTTTAACGTTTTAAACGCGAAATATATCTGTTACCATATTTTTAAGTTTCTTTTTAATGGGAATCGACGTGTATCATGCTTTGCAGCAGCTGACCATGGTGACGAAGGCTACTAATTAATAAATTTCACATTTAAAACCGTTAAAAGTGTTTTATTTAAATTATTGTTATTGTAATGTTAGTATTTGTTTTATGATGTTGAAAGAGCAAAAGGTATCAACATAATATTCGCAGTTATATTAGGTTCAAAGCGCAAACGACTTATTTGATGTCGTGTGCATTTTCGAGAAACATTTCGAAATATCTATCGCTCAAACGTCAATCAGACAGCAAAGTGGACGTAATCCAAATGTTATGATGGTCTTATAACTGGCTTGTTACTTTGACACACTAACAACACACTCGACAATCGGCGTAACACAAATATTACTTAATGTACAAATCTATGTTTACACTATGATTCACACCGCCTCTGTAGCTAAATGGTTAAATTTATTGCCTAGCATTGCGGTAATAAGTTAGGTCCGGGATTGAGGCCCGATTTAACAATAAATTGTTTCGGTCGTGCAGGACACGAAGTCTGATCATCCTGTGAAAGCCTGTAAATACTGAAACGGACATAAAACTTTGTTCGCCCCATGTCCCACTAGATTTGTAGTATCGTATATATGTATAATTGTATTTTGTTGGATATTAAAATAAATTGTTTTCTTTGCAAAATAGAATAACACAAATGAATATTTAGGGAAGTTCAGAAAATGTTTTTGTTTCATTAAGGAACTCTAATTAAGTGTTAAGAACCTTATCCCAATTATTGTCTCCATGTAAAAAATCTCACCCAAAGTTTGCATTGATTTTATAGAATTAAATATTTGTGAATTGTTTTATTTAATAGTAATAAGTTACGGCATCATCAGATATTAACTCCTCGATTGCTCCAGGAATTATCATAATTCTTCGAGCAATGGAGCAGTTATGATATGCAAATACATGCAAATTTTCGCTCAACCTGGGCTTCGAATTCTGGACCTCAGAATCTGCAGTCAACTGCTTACTATTTAGAGTTTAGACTGACGAGGCCACATGTTTATTTCTGAGTTTTAGAATAAGACTTTTCGACAATAATAAATGAGGATAATGCAGCCGGCTGAAGGCTAATAGCAGTTCGAGGAATTGCACAAACTCGGTAATGTACAAAAGATGCACCGAACAAAGGTAACAAAGTGAATGACCGGGTTGCGCAAATTGGCGGTCACCAACGGCCTTGGTCGCAAAATCTTACGGCTCTAATCAATAATAGACTTGGGACAACTCTCATCATTATTATATACTAGCTGTGCCCGCGATTTCGTCCGCGTAGTATAGTTGTTTTTGGGCATCATATTATTTTTTTTTGCAAACAACCACCACAAATTTATAAATGATAGCTGTCACCAACGACGTCATCCGCGTCGATCTCGCGAGTTAACCTTTTAAAGTAAATCGCCTACAGTTTATAGATGATTTAAAGAATTATTATTTTTCGATACATAGTGTTTCTTGAAACGTCTTCGCAGCATACGAAATTTTCAATTTAAACCAGTAGTTTGAAAAAATAAAACAAACTATGCAGCTTTGTTTTATAATATTAGTATAGATATTATTTAGAATTTATTTTTGCTTGTTTCAATCTTAATTTAAAACTATACAAACCTATAAAGAATAAGTATAACGATTAGAGTAGGTATATGGCATAAATTAAAAGTTACAGAGAATATATTATGTACAAAAATTTAAAAACCACCAGAACGACGATTTTAACTTTTTGTTTAAACCTTAATGCCAGCTAGATTATTATTTCAATTTCCGTTAAAACATCCAATGTTGGTTGTACTATTATATTTTTCTATCTAAGTGTATAAACATATGCATACTAGTTATTTAATATCTGTGGTCAGTGAATGTTGTATTGAATCTATAGGTAATGAGTTGTTACAGAGCGTCGTATTGTCTTATCTGTGACCGAAACTTTAGTAATAAGAGATAGTAAGCACAGAACATAACTCCACAACAAAACTGTAACTTCTAACGTTGTATTATGTTCTTCAATATTATGTAATTCCACAGAACATATTACACCCGCAATACGGAAACATGAAACACTATCGTTGTTACGTAGAAGGTAAATTAATCAAGATGAGCAATTTACGATAGTTATAAAGCACTTGTTACGAATAATAGGCCACTTCTGACCTTTTCTTAAAGCTATTCGATCGAAGCAATAGGCACATTCAATGTTATATAATACCTTAAATGAAGGTTTAATATTAAATAGCTACACAGATATTGAGAAATTGATGAAATTTGGCGATAGTGTGAACGTGTAATAACACAACAACAAAGCAACAATATTATAAAATAGGTAGATTTATATTTTCGTTGTGTGTATGTTTGTAATTTATACATTAAAAAAAATACTGCCCAGATTTTAAATTCCTCCAAATTCACTAAATATTACCTTCATAGTAACATAGGCTGTATCTATTTCTTGAAATATTTTGGGATTTCCTGGCTTGCTAAAACTTATACACAAATTAACTTCCGTTGCAAATACTATTGGTAATTATAGAATAAAAATTCGTTTTACTATCGGAGTGAGCGAGAAAATGTATAATGTGAATATTAATAACTAATTATCATCTGATGCTCATTAGAGCATATATTATGTTAGCAACGTGGATAATGTCTACTCCTTAATATATTACAATGGTTAATATCTTACCTTTATTGGTCGACCACAGGTTACTTGTTGGACTTCCTCGCTTCGATTTGTCCTTTAATAAAAGTATGTCGGGAACTTTATTCTGCTTATTATCCCATGGCACTATATCTGGAGCTCTATCAACGTTCACTCTAACGAATTCTCCTTTCAACACCTTCGGAGTTTCTTTACTAAACAGCGGTGGAGAAGGAGCCTTGGATTTTTTATTAAACAATTTTTTCTTTTGAGGCTTCGCTGGAAGTTCTATATCCGTGTATATTATGCTATCTATCTCACCAGCATCAGCTAAGTCGTTTCTTATGCCGATTAGACTTAACGGCTGGTCGTATTTCGAACCCAAACCCTTCTGTTGCACTGATATGTGCGTTACGCCATCGTTATCTGTGGTCTGTTTCAAATCATACTCCGCTTTTTTATCGAACAGGCCGTAGTCATCGACGCTACTTTTCCTATTTTTCGAATCTGACTTTTTTTTGGAAAATAAATTGTCGGTAGAGTAATTTGTGGGATTCGTTAACCTATTTCGCATTTTAAAGTATTTATAGGTGAAATATATTCTTTTGAAGTCCTGCTCGTTTTCAAACTTAAGCGCGATCGCTTCCTTGTTTACATTTTTAGCTATATAGAAGACTAGAGTGTTCTCGCAGTAGGGAAAATTCTCGATATTAACGCAAGTAATTATATCATCGATGGCAATGTTTTCATATTTATTAGTCTTGAAATTGAAATCTTTGATGAGCTTTTGTTTGTCGTCCTCGCTTGATTCCTCTCTTGTTCGTAATTGTAACTGATCTTTTTCGTTGAAACCGACAATGGTATTATAGTCGTCCTGTGTTATTTGTTTGTTTATGTCCACGACGTCTATTTCTTGTTTTGTATTGTGCAACTTCTTTCGAGCTACAATTGCTGCCCAGCCGCCACATCTATTCGATTTCTTCACGGTCATTATAGATCTGAAAAAAACAAGGATATCACATTATTTTAAGTAATATTTATTATCTACGCACCTATAGAATTATGTATGCTGGTTTTTGTATACGAAGTTGTATTTTCATTTTATTTGTAATTTTTGCTATTAAGTCTTCTTGAGTATAAGACTTTCATTCCTAAGTAACCTCTGTAAGTAATATCTGTAATGAAATATATTTGACGATATTACGAGGTAAATTTACTATCTAATTACCTACTAATGTGTTGTAGTGGCTTGCTTTAATTGTCTGTCGGTTGCACTAAAGTGAAATCTTTTTATATAGTATTTTAACATTTCAATCAAAAGCTCATAAATTTTAATGGGCTCTAAAGTAATTCTATAGACAAAACATGGATTTCATATCGGTGCACTTTCACTCACTTTCTTCTCAAATGGCACTATTTATTTAGGTAAATGTTTATCTAATTTTGAATGTTGACATTGGACTAAATGTAAAATGCAAATATCGTGCAGTCTATTGGTGTGTTAGCGACGAAATGCGAAATCAACGAAGTCTTATCTTAATAAATTCTAGATTCTTGAATTCGTGAATTATTTCTCATTCCGTATAAGTATGCATGCCACAGAAGAAACCTTATTATAAAATTTCACTGATTCAATTAATATGTATTCTATTAACGGCACAAAATAGTTTAATTACCATTTTTAAATACTTATTTAAAATAACATATTTAAACTAGAATGGAAAAAAGGCATTTTTAGTATTTACGCGAGTAGTGCACCTTTAAATAAAACACTTTAACGGTTTAAAACGCGATATATTTTGAGATTGCGTGACCACGGCTGCTGCATAGCATCCGAAACGTCCGGCCGTAGTTAAAGTAATTTTCGAATAAGTCTAACTAATATATGTATTGAACCGTTAAAGTCTTTTATTTTAAAGAACATGTCTTCCTCAAGAAAGTTGTATAAGATTGCTTACTTTTTTATACATTTCTTAGTCCAATCACCCAGTCTGGGAGAATTGCCCCCTCTCAATTCTTTTTACACATTTTTAGAAACACGTACACACAATAATTTTACAGAGTGTACGTGTGTTATAACAGGAAAATGTCAGAAAATATCGTGTGAAAATATTATGACATGCATGTTACAATCAAATTACAAAATTAATAACGTAATTTATTGGCTACTGTCGCTCATAAACCATTACCACACCTTATTACTTGTGAATTTATATATAATAATACTGTCTGGAAGAACGTTTGAGTAGGCTCTAAATTTAAAAAGGTGTCAATCTTAAAAATGTACAAGGACGTACAACTTGAAATATGGATATACTTTGAAGTTTGGCAATCGGGAAAAATTACGTTTAAGTTGTAAACTTTTTGTGCCATCAATAAGTAAATCATCATTAAAAAGTTAACAACACGGGCCGGACTTGAACCGGCATCTAGAGCGCTGCGTGCTCCTCCTCCAATCAAGTAAACTACTGTGAAAACAGCAGCATGGGACGCTGTGGATACCAGTTCAGGTCTTCCCGATTTTTAATTTACATAATGCTATCATCCTATCCATATGAGTAAATATTTAAGTTTTAAACATATAGGAGCAAGCACATTTGTGCGTCCGTCTCACCGATCGGTTCATATACAGGCAAGTAGTTGATCAGACTTCTGTGTCCTGCCCGACCGAAATAATCTATTGTTTCCCTGGGATTCGAACCTAGGACTACTTGCGCTAAGCAACACGGTAATTTAGCTTCAGAGCATAACAAACGCATCTCAATTTTTAGCATCGTTATATTAGCTAAACAGTGCTCGTCGAAATTCAACCGAGCAGAAATCTCAACAGCGTCTTTCGCAATTAAGCAGAAGCGAAAGTAAAATTAATTCAATACGTTTTAACCAGGAAATATTCAAACAAACATTAGCGTTATATTTATCACGGTAATTGCACGAATAATGAAGAGAAGATTAATTGTTGGACGCGCTAGAAACGGAAACATTATCTCGGTCCCAACAAATTATCCTAAGAGCACATTTTCCCATACACATTGTCTCGCGTTTTCACTGTCACAATGGTTTTTCACATAATTGTACATATTATGTATATTGTGTTTAAAACCATCAAATAGAAAGCTTTAATTGGTCGCGGAATGCTCTAATTTTCGAATTTCAAAATATAGGACGACCACGTTTTTGTATTTATTATACTGATCGATTTTATTACAGGCAGTACAGTTTAGTTTTCGATCTCTCCGACTGAAAGAATTTATTATTTCTCCGAAATTTGAACCCGGTACATGTAATGTTTACCGCGATACGCAACCCGTATAATTATTGAACTAAAAAAGGCGATCCAAATTATTACAAAACAATAAAATCCCTATACCCCGGGGGCATAGGTCAAACGCATATCTGTGTCCGTTTCATTGATCATATTTATAACAGGTAAGTAGATGTGCCCTGCCCGACATAAATTCTATAATTTTCCCGGGTTTCAAACGTAGGACTTTCGCGAAAAGCTTATTTTTAATTTAAGGCAATGTTTTGTTTTTAAGAATCGTTCGAATGTACAAATAAAAACTGCTTCAAATGTATCATTTTCATTATAACAGTCTAAAATAAAGTAATTATTTTATTATATATTATTAATAGGTTATAATTTTTAGCCGCATCCGCCACCTACCACAATTTGGACTTGATTCTGGGTCAATGTCGATGTATTGAGTACTTGAGGCTGACCTCAGCGAATTTCTTCCGACTTACAAGTGACATATTATTATTCTTCACATGTTACGGGAAAATCATATAAGAAGACCTTGGATTGTATATCTAATGTATATAATACTCGAGTCACAGTGTTATCACACTCATTCGAAACCGCTCGGGCGATTTTCATAAAGCTTTACATGCATATTCAGTAGGTCTGATAATCTGTTACTTTTATTTGTTATACCATTTCAGTTTTATTTTTTTGACGTTTTATTTTGTTTTGTGATATTAAAAATACAGACAGCCCTAAAAATTTACGCATCTATCACCATTCCCTATTTTTAAAAGTTGTTTTAGTAATTGAATCAACGAATAGTCTGTACGTGAAAAAAATCATCGCGGATTTTTTTTTTAGATCATTTAAAGAGGAATCATTCTTTCATTCATATTTTTTGTATGTCTTGAAACGTTTTTGCAGCGTACGCATCTGAAACCCACACAGATGAAAATTTCCCCGAGTTTTGTTCACATTTCCCGCTGTATCTTCGCTTCTATTAATCGCAGTCGACATTATAGCCTATAACCTTCCTCGATAAATGCTCTAACAAACAAAAAAGAAATTTTCAATTTGAATTCAAAGTTCCTGAAATTAGCGCGTTCAAACCAACAAAGAAACAAATTTTTAAGCTTTATATATTAGTATAGATTATAAAAATATTTTTTTATTCATATGTCATATTTCAACGTCTATGTTTTTGAAAATGTGTTTAGAGTCTATAATACGGGAGAAAGAAAAAAGATTATCATAATTTTTTCATTTGATTACATAAGCACACTACATACAAATCTTGTATCATTGTTAAAGTCTTAGATACAATTTGACAAAAATGATATCTAAGTAATTAAAAGGAAAATAAATCTTACTAGCATCTTAAGAAACTGAAAGCTTTTCTTATCCACTAAACTAGTAAAAATAACCTCAAATAATATATTGTTTACCTATGGAGACCTTGTATGCTCTTGATTTTTGCGAATATGGAAGTCGCATTAATATTTTCAAGATCTTTATAAAACTTACACGTAACATGTCTTGACATGTGTTTTCTATATAAGGAGAATAAAAGAAAAAGCTTTATACTAAGGTCATCTACAAGTTCCCTTTTTATAGATTCTAGGTCAATAATTATAACAGAAATTAATATGTTTTACTTAGTATGACACAGCTTATATAAATAGATAAAGTGTTTTGATAGAAGTATATACCTAACAGCGGCTATAAAAGCTATTTGTCGCGTTTTAAACCGAAAAAATGTTTAACGAGTAAACTACAGACTTAATAAACATCTTAAGCAAAATAATTTGATTATGGAATAAAATTCTCAACGCAACGTTTTTATTTTGGGATTTTACATAGACGAATTTCTACGACACAGTGGTGTCAAAGTGAAAATTAAAGAATGAAGTATTCGTTTTTTTTGTGTTTGAGATTACCTAATATTTTGGTGGTATTACCTAAATCCAAGAATATTTATCCGAGTAGTAATTAATATTACGTATTTTACGTGGTCAGAGCTTATAAAAATCTTTCTTAAAAACTGCTTTCTCTCACCTGATACTCATGAGAACAAACAGACAATGTGCATTGTATGTATAATCTCTACTGGCTACTATTAATGTAGATTCAAGTGTTCTCGTATGTATCTTAATTTTAGAAGCGCTAGTTAGTAGTTTTGTATTGAATAGAACACAATTGTTGATTGGTTCGAAGTTTTACAAAAAAATTGCTGCGACTGTCTTGTCTGTCCGTATGTCTGATACCAGGCATCTCAAGAACGATTATTCCTATTTCAATCTATGCTTCTGAGCTCATTATAAATGAGT